GTGACTTGGCAGTTTTATTCTGCTGAAACTTTGACATGACAGCAATTTAGTTCAATTTCGATTTCTGAACGTTTCGGACTAGTTTTGCGTCACATAACCAACATTTTCGTGTTAATAATTAATATCCAGATTTCCAAAGTGACGTCAGCACGTGGCCAACATAGCATTTCAGCGTATTTTGTGGGTCTACAACATTAATCTATCAAGGAGGAAGTTATTATAATGCATTCTCGCAGATCGAGGGAGAGCAGCTATTTAGTTAAGGGACTCACTTTGAAACATTTATAATAGGTAGTGACTTTATAATCGTTCGCTTGGCTGCGTGATTCAACATTATTCCAAACTCTGGACACCGAACAAGTTTTGATAAATTACTAGTAAATGAATAGATGTCACTCTTGTAAGAGTGGAATCTGCCTCCGTTTGATTCAATAAAATGCAACTAAGCATTCATTTTAAGGCTGGCTGATAAAGTATTTAATTGTAACTACATATCTCTGTCTACTTCCAGTCTGTCCATACTAATTATAATTATTATAATTATAATCTTAATTCCAAATTGTCTACGATTTAAATTAGAGCGCTGTATTTTGTTTCATAGTCGTAAATCATATCCGCGTTATTTTTTGTTTGAAACAACGCTGGTAGATAATTATTTAAATTACTTGTTCTTTGTAGGAATTCCCTCAACATTTTCAATTTTGCCATGATTATTTCAACTTTTCCAAAATGCGCCATATAAAACTAAATAAACGTACCCCTCAAAGCCTTGAGTTTAAAATGGATGTTTCTGACCACACAACAGAGGCACTGCAGTCGGGTAACGTCTCCTCGGCAATTGACATGGACTTTTTGGCTGGTTTGATGGGTGGAAACCAGAAGCCAGGCTCTCTACTTCCTGACGATATACCTCTCCTGATACTAGCTGTATTAAACTGCAGTATTTGTCTCATCGTCATTTTGAGTGAGTCAACTGATTTGAATTCTGATCGTCCCTCAGCTTTACTTTTAGTTTTCGAACAGCGATATTTTATATTTATTTTTATGCTGATTTAGAATCACCCCTGGGCCAGCTGCACATGACACAATATAATTTATCCCTAAAGAGTCGACTATATGGTTATCTAATCCAAGCAACGCATGCTACATGCGTATATACTATTCCAAATAGTTTCAAATATTTATCATCACACACCCTCTATTTCAGCAAACTGCAATGCTCTGAGGTTTCTCAGCAATCTGACCCGACACGGTGGATCCTCAGCTGCAACAAACGTGGTCTTTGTGTGCCTCACTTGTGTGGATCTGATCAGGGGCTTCACTGACTTCGAGTTCTACTTCTTCTTTCTCTTCTTCGATAAGAGAATTCTCAACATCGAGGTACGTTTCATTGTCACCTTATATACGTTTTATTGTCACCATTGACCATAGTACGTTTCATAGGCATCATTGTGTGTTTTAGAGGCACCATAGAACGTTTTAGTGGCACCACAGTATCAATATTTCAAAATATATGTATCATCTGTATCAAATGTTATCTATGTATCAAATTTTTTTTTAAATCAGTGGAACACCTTTTGATGTGTTAGTGATGTAACCATAGTCTTGAGTGTTAGTGGCCAGTTGTAGTCTGGTTCATTAATGTTTAGTTTAACTCATTCCCCCTCCAGGATTGGTGCCCTGTTTTTGCAATGTTAGAATGTCTGCCTCCGATCACCCTGGGAATAGCTCTGTTCCTCGCAGCTCAGAAATCAATACTTCTTCTGGACACGTTCGGAGTGAAGCGGTATATCAACACAAGAAACAGTCTCGTAGCACTTGGCGTCATCTTCATTACAAAGGTTATACTGCTTGTCTTTGAGCTTGAGACTGATATGCGATTCTTAATCTGCTAATTGAATCGCCTGGCCCGCCCGCGGTGCTCATGTCGAGGATGGCATTAAATTAAATCTTGATTCTTCCTTGATGTTAGTCTAATTTGGTGGTAAAAAATGGCCGTTTAGCTTAATGTCACGACAGAGAGAATCTGAGAATGTAATACTCACTTTCTGTGCTGACAAATGCTTAAATTTGTCAGCTCATGTTTAAATAACATAATTGGACATGGATTTAACTATTTAAGCCGTTTACGAATCAAGTCGATAACAGCAGACATTTGATTGGATAAGATATTAAATTACTAAATTCTATAAAGTTCGATATATAACATTACTAACGTCTTGGTAGGTTCTGTATACGGGTATACGGATAGCAATGTGGGGCGTGTCCCTCAACAGATTCACTGTTGAATGCATGATAAACGATCACTACACCAATGTTCAGGTTGGAGATTTTCTTAGAAGTAACAAGCACCACACCTCTTATTTAATGTCTCCTACTGATTTCAGATCTGCAGTCTAGCTCGCTCACACACTGCATGCACTGATCAAACGGAATGAATTTAATACCTTCATTCTTAATTTTCCATGATGTTTAAGAAATTTTAAAGTGCGGATTATGAATGAAATTACTCAACCAGGGAATTTCTGAGAATTTATCATCTCCGCACTTTTTCACTTAATCATTAAGATATGATAATGTCCAGGTTTACTCCTCCCTGGTCCTTAACTACGAACTGAACCTCACCCTTCTCATCACTTGTACTGGTTATATCGTCTACAATCTCTTTGATGCGGCCAGACAGAAACAGCCTCACAGTAAGAAGGGTATATTTATTTAACAGATTAAAGATAAGCTCTTCCTTATCTCATTACAATAAGATAAATGTCATATCAGATACGTTATCCCTTGACCATGATACATATGACGATTCAAATTTAACTTAATAGCTAAAGCTTACAATAAAGAAGTGTAAAAAAGTTGTAACTAAGTTCATGATCATACATGTTTTACCAAGTTGCAACTCAGTTGACTAAACTGTAACTATGGTAACTATGAAATCATATTTGATTCATTTCAGAACAGCAGAGACTAGCGATGTTGAAATGCTCGGTGGGCATCGTCATGACCTGTATCGGCTGCTACAGTATCTTCATCGCCTGGCGAATCATGCTTATACACAACATAACCCTACCTCCCATGATATTCTACAACATCAAGTACATCAAGGTCTTCGCGGAGCACATTCTCTTGAACTTTAACTCCGCAGTCAACCCTATCATGTATATCATCAACAACAGATCCATCAAAAGAAAGCTGGCCATGCAGAGGAAAAACAGTAGGAACTATCGATCTAGTAACTTGTTAAAACCCAATCGACACACGGAGCTTCCAACCGAGTCTCATATGTAACCAACAGCTCAGAGCTCTGGCTATCATGCTGTGTAACAAATTAAACCGTTACCAGAACAGAATTGAGTTTGGCACACTCAGGTTTCAGGGAATCCAGTGATCATTGATCAACAGACAGCAGGTAATAGAGTTGATGTGGTGCTGTTCAGCATGGTGCAGATAGCATATGGTGTGCAATGGAAACGAAAAAAACGAGTAAACAAACAAGCAAACAAACGAACAATCAAACAAGACGAAAGGCAACCGAAAACAATTATCGAATTATTCTATTTTTATCAGCTGATTATCGGAAATAGGGTTTAATACTGTCTAGTTTCACCCGATCAACACAGCTCCTTATTGCTTTATCAACTCGGAACGTGATGTGAGATACCGATATAACTCGATAAGAACGATCGCCAACCGTCAGTTGAATTATTGTAATCTGATTTCACGGGAGAACGGTCTCTTTCTAATTAATTCCTGTGACTATTTTAGCGTATATGTCGGGATATGGAGAAATTTGAGCAGGAGGACCCGTGCATTATCAAGGTTCTACCCTGTTCATCCCAAGATAAAATATTTTGTTGTAAATGTCATTACTGTTCCAACATATGAAAATTTGATTCCAAGAGAGGAAGTTAATAACCATATGTCTATTACCTGTCCAACATCACTCCAAAGTCTGAAAACTGAAGACAAAAATCGAGAAAAAACATGCCCTAACACGAAACTTGTCGCAGACAATATCTTGTCAGGGCATGTTTGATAATCAACACGCCCGAAATAACACTCTAACGTCTATTATGGAGCTGTGATATCGATCTCCGAACAAAAGTTAATTAGGAAGTACGAGGGCGTGTCTGGTAGGTTGTTGAGGACATGTGCACTTGTTCAGGGTCTGCCGTAACGTCGGGAACCCTTTGTGAGCTGCTCTTTAACAGGATCAGCACGTGAGAGCCAGCTAAATGCGACTTCTGCACATTCACAATACTCTCCCTGAAGTTAATCTACAATATACGGGAGAATTTTATCTAATTAAGGGGACTGCCTCGTGATTCATCATGTTATTAGAGTTGTCTCCCTGCCCTAGCTAGCACGCTGCGGTCGAGCAGGCTCAAGCCTGGGCATGCTAAATGCAAGGGTGGAGCTAGCGCCCTTAAATAGGATATCCTTAATGTCACCGAATACTTCACGTAGTGGCAGCCCCCAGACGCACCGGCCCACTGCTTAACAAAACCGCCCCACACTACAGACTTGTTGCCAGGCCCTCTGGTGTTGTTCTGTTGTTGTAGTAGTAACAGTGTTTTAGTAGTGGTTAGTTCCTGCTGAATAACTTTTAATATTTCTACTTATTTAGTTGTTATTCTACTTAAATTGTAGTTGTACCAAAATGTGCGAATTTTCACACTTTGGAATTTCAGCGTTATGACATTCGATGCCATAATTTTAATTGTCCTAAAATGTGGCAATAATTCTTGGCTTTTTACCTCAGCCTAACCCTAGATTCAAGCCCTGCCCCTAGTACTTAATCCAACACTTCTCACTTTCAAATGCCTTATCTCCGCTATGATTTGGTTCACAGTTCCAAGTCACGGTTTTAGTTTTACAAGATTATGCTTCACAACTCTCCATACTATGGCTAACTGTATATTTTAAAAGGATTGGCGAAGTATTACTATTAGTAAAATTTCGTTGACAAATACTCATCGCTCTCCGAGTACTAATGAATAAATTTTTACTACTACTGTCAGTAAACGTTTTAGAAATTGAACGCATCGAAGCAACCACCAACGAAGATAACCGATTTATACTCCATATAAAGTGATATATTTTGAACCATGATTTGTAACTTGGCTTATAAGCTCTCTTATCGTGCAATTCATAAACAGCTAAGAGTTTAATACTTGAATTTGTCAGATTGAGATATGGCTATTATAATGTCAAAATAAAACCAGCTTATTGCTTTAAAATTAAAGCTTGCTCGATCTGCTTGTATTGCTTGCAGTATAGGTAGTATTGTAAGAACCAAGAACTACCAAAAATGTTGATAATAAATCCAGATATATCATGACTTTAAGGTGGGTCGTAAACGACCCTATCGTCCCTAATGGGTTAATCACATGAGTACTTGCTTTAAGTGCCGATTGTACATCATAGCATTTGCTTTTCGTTCGACAGCCGACAGGTTTTCAAATAAGAAGTAAGAACGTTGTAACTAAAACTTCATGTGTGGTTCTGCCGAACTCTGATCTGAAGCAGCTTAAGGGTCGGTTATAGCATTTATCTGAATTGTATGACCACCAATCACAGTCATCAAATTACTTGCTTTAAACCAATAATATACTTCCTGCGAACCAGGGGTGTACCCCTGGGCCCTGCTGCGAACTGTCAAATAATGTAACAGCTTGCTTCGAATAACCGTTAAGAAATGTTGATCGTTATCCGATTTCTTTGAAACAACACGAAAGTGAAAGATCAAAGATCAACGCCTAGATACTTTAATCTTATGTCATTCAGAACTGTTAAATATTTAAAGTTCTTACGTAAGAAATGTCTATCTAATTTCTTTGCGATTGACAGAAAGCAAAAGATAAGCACTCATTAACTATCAACCGGAAGTGGAACTGCCACCTGATCGCTTTACGAGATGGAAGTCTTGCTGAGATATAACGTCTCGCTTTACATATAGTAAGATTGTCGAAATTTAATTATTGTTGATCTATAATCTCATAGAAAATCGTATTGCAGTATTTATTGACGCACGGATTTCACTGACCAATATCACTACTAGAAACATTATGCATAACTACAAAGGAAAAAAGCGAGAAGTGAGGTGCCCCCGGAATAAAATGCTCGTTCAAGAGCTGGTTAAAACAGAAAGGAGCTGTCTAGCAGACCCAAACTATCTGGCTGTAATTCAGAGAGGAAGAATTACTGAGACGATGAGGATGATCGCTCTAGATTGGTTGTTTGAGGTCGGTTGATAACTTTTTTACTCGACTAACTTCTTTTTATTTTGAACGCAGAGGTCGATCCTCTAATTTGTACCACTGCAATAAATTAAAGATGACAAACAATTTACCAGCTTACTATTCTAATTTTGTCTAAGCGAACTCAAAACTTCAGCTGATTGACAGTACGGGACCCACACCTCGAGGAGCTGAAGTTTACACAGCCGCCTGCTGTATGTTTGACAGATACCTATCAGTCCAGCCTATATCTCCTGACGAAGTGCAGGATACAGCTCTTTCGGCGCTGTTGTGCGCCAGCAGAGTCCTGGAACCAAACTGTCCTCTGGGAATCAGTGCCATGGAGAACTATTACCGCATCAACAGACTCAAGGTACGAACTTACCACTGCGGTCTTGTGTTCAACTTGAATGAATAAAACGTGATGGACTGCTGAATATTCAGGAATATCGTCTGGCTAGCTTGCACTGTCCCTGATCGTTAGTGATAGAATCTGCATTATATGCTGTTCACGCTCCGGTATCTAGATGAGACAGTTTATGCCTTGCGTCTTTTACTCAATTACCCTCATAACCCCCCAATTACCTTCTTAATGCCAGTCCAAATAGTTAAGATCTCTCTCAGAAACTAGAAGATCAGTTCCTGAACACAGTTAAGATATCACAAGACAGCCTCATCCTCCCCACAGACTATTACCCTTCCTTCACCCGGTCCTTGCTAGATACCTTCTCTCGGGAGGTGGTCTGCGACGTCATCTACCATTCTCATAATCTACTCCCAGTTTTCTATTCAGGTAAATAACATATTTGCAGTTGGTTTATGAGGACCACATGACATATAGGCACAATGCTGGCCGGCTAGAATTAATGTAAATAAAAGGGCTGTTAGCCGGCTGTTAGAGGGTAATTGCGCCCCAAAAAGGGCTGTTAGAAGGCAAAATTGGCTATTATCGATTTTATAATTTCCATTTAAGGATTGTCTAAGTTATCATACTAAAAAAGGATTAAAATTCAAACTGAATCAAGTTGTTTTACCTCAATCTTTCAACCACCATCGCTTATGAATCAAGGTCAACTACTATGAATAATAGCATAATTATTAAGAATGTCGCTGAAATAAACCGCCACATTATAAACACATATCTCCTCCCAGAATACGAGTCAGTGTTACACCCGCCGAGCGTGATAGCTGGAGCGTGTCTGCTCGAATCAGTAAACAGGCTGCTGGGGTACCAGGAGTGCTTGGAGCTACTTGCAGACATTGTTACACAGACGCGGCTCCACCCGGTAAGTCCCGCTCTGTAACACGTTATAATTATTCACAAATTCATCTCAAATTCAGAAAGATTTTGTTTTTAAAATCGTGTCAAATTGCTCTCTAATTTTTCTTGAGCTAAAGAATGGGTGGATTAATTTTTTAGATCTTACTAAATCAAACTCTAATCTGCACGATCATAAAGGCTCGTTTGCAAATCATGCCCTATCGTGCTCTATCAATATCATTGTTCGACCCATTTCTTTTACTGTAACACAATTTCAGAGTTACTTTATCAAAGCGACGAAAGATCTTAGGAGATGGATTTCAAAGCTAACGAGCTGAAGAGAAAACTACTCTTATTACTGTTAATGTAATCAGATTCAGAGAATTCAGAATAAATATTAAGGATTTCCCTGCAACTGTGCTCAAAATAGACTACCATTGATACTATGGTCGTACCATCTGTACAGTCAACAATGTTCCTGGTACTTACAAGTTACAACAGAAATGAGAAACTTAAGTACAATATACTAATATAACAGCTTTCGATTCAGTTAAACATTGACCCGTTTACCTACGATTTTTTATGTAAGACGGGACAGACAGCTGCATACAAGTTTGAAGTTAGTTTAACGGGCCATCATCGCATCAAACTTCGGTACGTTTTGAGTATTGGATTGCTCTAGACTTTAGGATTTGTTCCTGTTGGTGGTTGATGTTGTTACTGTTGTAGCTCATATTTGAATTTTCTAAATTATTAGTCGATCGCTACAGATGAATTGATTTTTGGTAATAATGTTATTATTTGAAAATGTAATTTGTCCACGGACTATTATTAGCCGTTATACTTATAATTATATCATATTTGTTTACCTTACTCGATAATATCACTAGCAGGAACCCGTATAACTCTAAAATGGTGTCAAGACTCAAGAGACTAAAATAATTATTACCTATTTAATTCGCGTTTTTGACATCACTTGGGGGTCAAAATTTTGGGCTCTAAAACTCCTATTTCTTGGCCTATTTTTTTTCATGCTGATTTGGAGGCCATTAAAGCATTTGGCCCAGTCAAAAAAGTTTCAGTTGTATATCTTTTACGGTTTTTGCGAAAAGTCGCGTTAAAGTTGATGCCGTCTGGTGTCAGTAAAATGGTACGGATCCATATATATCGTCTCGCTTTATATATAGTAAGATGGCGGGTTAAATTATGTCTGTTAAAATATTGACAGTTAAAAATATGGTGGGATACGGCCAAAAAACTGCCACATTTTAACGGTCATGCCGTCATGATTGTAACTGCGACTATACCTTCCTTAGAAATCTCCGATTACCACGAGAAAATTACCGATTTGTTTAAAATATTTTAGACTTTTGGCAACAGTGGGAGGGACAGACGGCTGCATACAAGTTTGAAGTTAATTTAAGTTTAACGGGCCATCGTCGCATCAAACTTCGATCGAAATCCAGATTTATACATCGTGTATGGATTTTCATCAAGATTAGACAACAAATTACTGAGTTATGAGCCAAAAACTATATGCATAGTGCATACGCACCAAATTTGATCGATATTGGCCCATAAATTAGCGAAATATTAATATTTTTGAATGAAACCAACTTTATTTGCCCCAAGTGTGCCCAAACTCAAAGTAACTTTTTACCCCAAGTGTGCCCCAACTTGCAACTGTGGCCCAGGAAATTCAATTTTGTGCCCCAGGTGTGCCTAGCTAGATTACCAAATTATCCCAACTTTATATAAAAGGTAAGCCTAAACTAAACATTCTCTATGATTATCAGCTCAATATCTACCTATAAAATATCTATCTATAATTCTGTGTTCAAATAATCGCAAAAAATGAACAAAATCGTTCCATAGAACTCAATAGGAAGGGTCTCAATATATTTTAATGAAATTTTCAGAATCAACATAGAATTGCATGATGATTGATGACTCATGACCTTAAGTTTTGTAGTGGAATTTTTATTTAGGCCGTTTTTTTAATTTGGTGGCCAAATTCTGAAGTTTGCCGGGCATTTTTAAATAATTGATAAATTCAGATTTCGTCGGAAATGTCAAATTCTTCCGAAATAAATTTGAAATTTGAATAAAACCTAAAGACAATAATTACAAACAGCTTTAAATAACTTTTTGACATTCTCCGTCTCGACTTAAACAGTGAGATTGACAGCTTTTAAAATCAACCAATTGCAAATTGGCAAGATCTTGTTTTTTACAGTTCTTTGAATTTTTATATTTGAAAATACTGACAATGTTAGTGTTACTATAAGTATATAAAGATACTGTATCGAGAATAGTTTGAGTTCTTGGCTTCTTAAAGTCAATCTGATGTCTTACTAACACATTTTGCCACATGTTATGTGAGGACGGAGTGTGACCACTTTTCTCACGTTATATAATACTTATTAGTATTATAAGATGCCTCTGATCGGAGAAAGTAGAGGATAAAAAGACAGTGGATGGAAAACGATTGATGACACTAATTGACTATAATTTTAAAAATGTAATTTACTTGCACCTAAATGTGAAAATTATACATACCAATAAAAAAAATCCGGGATGATCATCACCAAGGTTCGACCGGGATCCCGGCTTAATTTTCATTTGCACAAATGAACGATTTTTTTGAAAAACCGAAGTTTAAAGCAAAATTGTTCTTGTGCTAATGTGCTTATAAATATAATCAGTAGCGGATACCAGGTTTTAGTGTCAGAGTTAAATGCTGGTTTGTTGTGGTGAGCTGTGCACTTGAAATCAGTAAAGGATACCAAGGTTGTAGTGTCAGAGTTAGTAAATTAACGTATGCTACCCTCCTCAATGTCCTCGTCATCTGATGTAAATCAGTAAATCTAACTGCCTCTTCATTAGACTCCGTAACCATACTCTCGTCGTCAGAGTCGTCTTTGTTCAGATTGTTCGTGGCATGGCAAGGTAATATAACCAATAACCATCAGGTGGGAACTTGAGCTGATATATTTCGTAGTTTATGACTCTTCAGTTCTATTTGATAATCAATTTGATTTCTAAGTTTTCCGGCCGGAGGCTCAGTCTGCTATCCCCTACAATGTTTTCGCCACCTTGAAAGCTCTTTCACTTGCGACTTAGAAAGGAGGTGGACACAGATAGATCCAGACAAGCTGGTTCAGATGGGGTACAGAGTGTGATTTTTCCGCCAGAACTCCAGGGGATTACGCCTCAGGGGCTTCAGCTTGTCCTGGCCTTCAAATATCTGGTAATCTCGTTCGTTACCACGTTGTTCGGAGATCCGGGCCCGTCTGAAGTATACTGCGTAGGAGTTGGTCAGTTAAGTTGGTCAGTTAAGTTGGTTCCAAGTCGCTGCATCATCGTCAATCTCTCTGACTGAGTCGTCAGTATCACTGTTTCTTTCCTTCTCGATATCACTGTCCGCACTGATTCTTATTTCTTGTACTCTTTCTTTGACGGAAGCCCACCTCTCTCTTAGACAGTTAGACTTGGAGATCAGGAACTCTTTGGCAGCTTGAGGTTTCTCTCTATAAGTAAAAACAGTTGCCTTGTAGGTAAAGAGTCGCTCTGATAAACCACAACACAACGGCTACTCGGACTTTAAGTTTAATAAATACGGATAACCAAATACCAGTGGCAGTAGTAATAGTATGTTTTACGCTAAAATCAAATGTAGAATATTCTAGAAACCCAATACACTGATAGTGATCAACCAACTTGATGATCTTTGATCATCACCATCTTTGCCATTTACATTTGAAAATTTCTCGGTGAAATAAGAAAACATACAACTGGCGAAGAAAGCGGAAACTTCCAAGAAAAATATTACCTGGGGACCCCAGGCTATAAGTATAATGTTCATAAACTTTTCCGCCGAATAGAGATTCGGCGGAATGACAGGCTGAGCGTTTATATAACTATAAACGGATAAGTTTTGGCTTTGCTTCTTATTCCTCACGGGACAGCGAAACAACAATTCCTGCACAAGCGTGTTTTAGAATATATTTATCATCAACGAGATCACAGTTTTTTATCACAATCTCTTTAACATATTTTCTAGCCTCCTCGCTTAAATCCTGGTACTCAGCTTGTAAGAAGAAGAGGAGACGACCTCATCGTTTCCCGACCCATCCTCATCTCGAACAAACTCGTCTATGCCTATATAAGTGATATAATCCAGGACAGACACTATCAATTCTGGGTGCTTAACTCGGATGAAAGACGCTATTTTTGGTGCCGTGAGTGCGTGATTTGCGTGGGTTAGACTATTGCTGAAGATGTTTGGATCACTTCGGTTTATCATGTAGGCGTACACCTCCGAACAGGCAGACTCTCCTACGTTGAATATGAGAATTTTACCGCGAGGTTTCAGAAACTTGATCGCGTGAGAAACTGCCCCAAATGGGTCCTCAAATCCGTACAAGCAGTGTGACAGCAGTATGAAGTCGAATAGAGGACTCCCATATTTCTCATCGAACTCAAACTCTTTGTTAAAGAGTGACGTGTCGATGTCGTACTGGGCACCAAGACTTTTCAGTTCAGTCTCCAACAGCGGAACATGGACGGTATTCGGCTCGATAGCGTAGATATATTCCAACTTTAACCCCTGTTCCCGAACCAACCTTGTCTCAAATTGTCCTCTTCCAGCACCAATGCTTAACATTTGCACCGGCTCCTTGTCGAAGTTGTTCTCTAGGATGAACTTCCTGGAGATACTAGCCATATCATCATATTCAGTGGTGTTAGCTACCAGCCTGGCGAATGTTCTCGCATATCCCTCATCAGTAAGGGGAGCAGCAGTTTCTTTCCCAGTCATTGCTGGAATTGTCAGTTGGCTTGTTAGATAGTGAATAAGGAAGGTGAACAGTGAAGCAAGTTCAAAGTACCATTAAATGTAAAGCTTATTGGGAACCGACCGCGGTCTGGGGTTTTGGCTGCCGGACCGGAAAATGGCCGGATATCAATATATTTTCAGGCTGCCGGATCTTGCCGGACATTTTTTTAAATAATTTTTTTTAAAACCTCTACCATTTAAAAAAGTGGTACTAATTATAAAGGCAACCATTTATTTAATTGAGCAATTTAACATGATCCGATCCTGAACCGGACCCGGATATCAAAAGCCGGATATCTGGCCGGAATACAATTCTAACTCACAAATCAAAATGGAGGTGAAAACTTGCAAATTTTAGGGATGATGATAAATCACTTTTTTGTAAAAATTATAAAATCTAACGACAAGAAAAAAATCTATCAGTAAATTGATCGATAATGAGGTTTTTCGTGACATAACATCGCATGATCAAAAACATCAAAAAAAGTACAACTGGTTTCGTTAGGCCAGGGAGAATGTTCGAGATAGAACAGAGAACAGAGAACAGAGAACAAAGAAAATGCCCTTACACATATAATTATAAGTAACATGAGACTGCAGAGAAAATATGTGTATGTAATATTAATAATATGTAATAATATGTATAATATGTATAATAATATTTAATATTTATAATGTAATTTGTAGTAGTGTTATATATGTAGAGTGAATTATTATTATCCGCGTCCGTGATCCGGCTGCCGGCGGTGCCAGTATGCAGTACTAAAAAAATGTCCGGCAAGATCCGGCAGCCTGAAAATATATTGATATCCGGCCATTTTCCGGTCCGGCAGCCAAAACCCCAGACCGCGGTCGGTTCCCAATAAGCTTTACATTTAATGGTACTTTGAACTTGCTTCACTGTTCACCTTCCTTATTCACCATCTAACAAGCCAACTGACAATTCCAGCAATGACTGGGAAAGAAACTGCTGCTCCCCTTACTGATGAGGGATATGCGAGAACATTCGCCAGGCTGGTAGCTAACACCACTGAATATGATGATATGGCTAGTATCTCCAGGAAGTTCATCCTAGAGAACAACTTCGACAAGGAGCTGGTGCAAATGTTAAGCATTGGTGCTGGAAGAGGACAATTTGTAATATGCAGATTTTCAGACCCTCCGAATTTTCAAAACCACCCCTCCCCCGGACGTCCGGATTTCCACTTCCAGCTACTTTTAAGACTAAGAGTACAAATAAAACCAATTTACGAGTATCACCGTTACCTGGGGACCCCAGGCTATTATGTTAATTAACATATAGAGATTAGGCGGAATGACAGGCTGAGCGCGGCCCAGTAAGTATCACCGGTGTGCGGTTGACGGATGTTACTCGTCTAAATTTCTTCGAAGTAGCGCGCGCCGACGGCAAGTGCCAGATCATTAACAATGGTCAAAGAACAGCTAGGCTTGCAATTAGTTTATAATCGCACTGATTTTATAACAAAATAGTCGGTGCGATTATAAACTAATTTGTAATTGCACTGATTATAACATCAGAAACGTGGAGTTATACTTATACGCAAATCTAACTGCATATATATCATGCAATTATGCGCCAGTTATTACAGTTCACAGTTACACTCGGCTGCGCCTCGTGAAATAACTTATTATAATATGTATAATATGTATAATAATATTTAATATTTATAATGTAATTTGTAGTACTGCATACTGGCACCGCCGGCAGCCAGATCACGGACGCGGATAATAATAATTCACTCTACATATATAACACTCGCGGGCACTGCCACTGCAGTGCCAATCTCGCCACCGCAATCCGCATAATTCGGGGTTCCGATTATGGTTAGGATTAGGCTTAGGGCTAGGGCAGTGGCGTAAGTGTAACGTTGCCTGTTGACGTTGAAGTGTGAAGATTGGCGAAGAAATATTGGAGTTATCCCAAAAAAGGTAATATTTTTTAACTTAATTAATAGCCTGGGGTCCCCAGGTAAGCAGTATAGTACATTTACCAAAAAACACAGGGGACCATTAAATTTAAACTAGGAAATCAACGACTTTCACATGCAAAACTGCATAATTTATGCAAATTTGGCCTATCGTCCATTTTTGGGTTTCAGGCCTTGCTGCTGGGAAAACATGGCCATTTGTGAGCACCTCTTGGGTTTTATGGGATCAACTTTGAACTTTTACGCGGATGTTACTCGTCTAAATTTCTTCGAAGTAGCGCGCGCCGCTTTCTTCTCGAAATGTTATGGCCCGATGGCAAGTACTACTACTAGTACTACGAAGTAGCGCGCGCCGGGCCAGACTTAACGGGTTAATATACTCGTAAAATATTTGTTCCAATTATTATTGTTCCAGGACCGTCGACAAGTCCAAGTGGACCTTGTATCACGTGGTGACCCCCACTGTCGCTTCACTATAGTGGACGATACAGGGGGAGCCGCGCACTTCGTGCGCGGCGGGTCATACAACGTATGACAAAGTGGACCACGACCGAGTTGGACTCCAACTCGGCGCGCGTCCTGGTAGATTGTAAACCTACAAGGCCAGACCATTAACAATGGTCAAGATCAACTAAGTTGTTCAAGAGTTAGATGAGACAAAAGGAAATATGTTGCATGTTGCATTGTTTGTTATTGTAATCAAATTCATGACAAAAAGTTCTTGAATTGAAAAATACTATTATTCAATATTCACACTTTTGAGGTTATATACGCTATACTACTAATCTAACTGCGTATAATGCGATTACACTATTAATTATAATTGCACGAGGCGCAGCCAAGTGCAAATTGATTGTTGATACAATAATCGCACGAGGCGAAGCCGAGTTCGATTATTGCAGTTATTTCACGAGGCGCAGCCGAGTGTAACTGTGAACTGTAATAACTGGCGCATAATCGCATGATATATATGCAGTTAGATTTGCGTATAAGTATAACTCCACGTTTCTGATGTTATAATCAGTGCAATTACAGTTTATAATTGCACCGACTATTTTGTTATAAAATCAGTGCGATTATAAACTAATTGCACTGTTCTTTGACCATTGTTAATGATCTGGCACTTGCCGTCGGCGCGCGCTACTTCGAAGAAATTTAGACGAGTAACATCCGTCAACCGCACACCGGTGATACTTACTGGGCCGCGCTCAGCCTGTCATTCCGCCTAATCTCTATATGTTAATTAACATAATAGCCTGGGGTCCCCAGGTAACGGTGATACTCGTAAATTGGTTTTATTTGTACTCTTAGTCTTAAAAGTAGCTGGAAGTGGAAATCCGGACGTCCGGGGGAGGGGTGGTTTTGAAAATTCGGACACACCGGCCGGACAGGGGGAGGGTCTGAAAATCTGCGATTTTGGCGGACGTCCTACTCCTAGACCTATTAAGTAGATGGCCCCTAAAATATTTGTTCCAAATTTAAATATTGACCGTCCAACTCAAAGTCCAACTATAGCTCGACGCGCGTCTTGCGATAGATTATATTTATAAACATACAAACTTTGACTTTGAGGCAACAAGTATAACTATAGTTGACATACGTTGCATGGCACTTTTCGCGCGCGCCGCCGAAGGATATTTGGGATACGTAACATGTATCAAAACTATAGGTATATAATTGTATTACTCGGCGTGCATGGCGCTCTATTATCTCCACTTCTTGCATGATGAGTTGCATATCCGTGAGCTGAGAGAATCGAGCGAGTTTAATATAATATTTAAATATGTGTGCGATTCCATTGTCAATTACTGATTACCCAGTTCACAATTGCCCAAAACACGTCCATTACACATTAGTTTATCTGATTAGCGTGATCTCAATTTGAAAATTGAAGTAAAATTGTATGGCAAGCTGCCTTTTAACTGAAGTTATTTATCTTTCAATTCCATCAGCGATTTGACCGAACAAATGCATTTGTAAAACAGGACTTAACAATTTCTTTTGTTGAAAATAGAGATTCTGCGCAAAATATTGCTGTCTATAATTGCAGTGTCACGATGCACGACACTTGATTTAATATCAACAAATACCAATAAAATAGAGTTATATTTCGTCACAAACTTTCAATAAGTTGAATACACAATTGAATACCAAAGCTAACATCAAATATAAACAATGTAAAAATTGCAAGTGCCCCAAGTTCGTAAGTAGATTATAAATCTGAGATTGCCAAGTTGTTGAGTCCCTTGAAGTCAGTCTCCCTAAAAGCAAATTCTACTTCTTCTCAGCCAGCGAGTTGATCCTTCAGATTAAAAGTGGCAAAAGATGCTTCTAGTTAAAACATTCAAAAAATAAATTCTAACCTTCTTTCTACAACATTTTCGCTAGCATAAAATAGCATCATATTTTGGCTAAGAGGCGGCTTTCCTACTTAAAATTAAACAATAATTTACTTAAAGTTAAAGAAAGAGTCCCATAAGATTGAATTTCATAATATACTTCTGATAGAAATGGGGAATTCGAGAGTCCTTGATTGGAAATGACATCATATGAAGTCATCTTGATGAGGGTGTTTATAACTCATCCTTAGGGGCCTCCTCTGCAGCTTCTTCCACTGCTTCATCCGCAGCTTCTTCCGCGGGTGCGGCTTCTTCCTCAGCACCTTCGTCGGCGGCAACTTCTTCTTCGGAAGACTCTTCGGCACTCTCCTCTTCAGCCTTAGGTTCTTCTTCCTCGTCGATCTCTGGAGGAATTTCAACCTTGGCGTCAGCATCTACGTTGAAACTGCGTTTAAGGAGTTTCTCCATTCGGTCGCTGAAGGCGGTGGTGTCACGGAGTGAGTATCCTGATCTCAGAAGAGCAGTGTCGTAGAGGGAGTTAGCTAGGTCAGCGGCAGTCTCAGACTCGGGGTCAGCTTTGTAGAGGTTGTTCAGCTCTTTGACCAGGGGATGGAAGGGGTTAAGTTCAAGGATTTTCTTCTGAACGTTTGCGTCAGCTCCTCCTGCCTTGGCGTAAGCCTGAGACTTCATGATACGTTCCATGTTACCAGAGTGGCCGTATTGGCTGGCAACCAGAGCACAGGGAGATCCGACCAGACGGGTGGAGAGGACAGCTTTCTCAATTCCAGAGTTCAAGATCTTCTCCTTAAGTCCGTTAAGAAGGGTATCGAATTCACGTCCCAAAACTTCCATGGTTTCTTTGGCTTTTTCAGAATCCTGGAGGTTGAGGTTTTCTTTAGCAGCGTTCTGGAACTTCTTTCCCTCGAATTCGGGCAGGTTCTGGACTGTGTATTCATCAATAGGATCGACCAGGTAGAGAACTTCATATCCTCTCTTGAGGAGTTTCTCAACGAAGGGAGATTTGTCGCACTCAGATCGGCTTGTTCCAGTCATGAAGTAGATGTGTTCCTGTTTCTCCTTCATCCTCTCCATGTAGGCGGTCAGGGAAGTGAGACCTTCATCGCTGTTACTTGACTGCCATCTGAGGAGCTTGGCCAGTCTGTTTCGGTTGCTGTGATCCTCCATGACTCCCAGTTTCACGTTGGTTCCGAACTCTTTGTAGAACTTCTCGTAGTCCTCATCGGTCATCTTCTTGAGCATGTCCAGGGCTTTTCGAACCAGCTTCTTCTTGATTACTCGGAGGAGTTTGTTCTGTTGGAGGGTTTCTCTTGACACGTTCAGGGGCAGATCGTCACTGTCTACAACTCCCTGAAAAATACGTTAGATTAAGTTATTTCTAAATGGGACCGAATTGAACCAGCCGAATTGAAACCAATCGTCATATTGAGTAGCAGAGTACTAAAGACAAGGAAATGAAAATATTGTATTTAAACAACTCGGCTACGAGTGTAATTAACTGCTATTGAATTGAACACATTTATCATGTATAGAGTATGAATATTGGACAACGGCAACTAACCTTGATGAAAGAAAGGTATTTGGGCATCATTTCTTCGAAATCGTCGGTGATGAAAACTCTCTTGACGTACATTTTTATGTTGTCAGTGGCTTTTCCTGCAATGTCGCCGTTAAGCGAACTTATTCTTATTCTTTTAAAAGTTTACGAAGTTACGTATAAAAGGGGATACAAATCAAAATACCTTCTTTGACAGCTTCAATGAACCATGTGCATTGTGCAACTAGCTGTACGCAAATGTTCATAAACCCAGTTTAAAACCGTAGATCAGTATATTAAAATCCTTTTCAATATCGGGTGATTTTAATGACTTAAATGTTGCCATTTACATTATCAATATTTTATCGTATGTTATTAATTAGATTTAAAGATTTTATCAGTCGCTTTACCCATACCCATGTCTAAATTTGTATGGTGCCTTTTACTGAGAAACTAAATTAATTTTAACATTTATTACACGCTTCGAAATGTAAAATATACCCAAAAAAGAAACATTTAAGTCATTAAAGCGAGACTTAGTATGGACTATGGAAATTATGCACTTCTGTTTCAGTTCAGAATTTATAGACAAATATTAGTATGGAAATATTATTTAAATATAAATGTCGAAAGTATTTACTTTCCGAATTTTTAATTCATCCAGTGCACTCCTTAATTATTAAACCAGGAAATAAGCGGAGTGGTTCGTGGGAACACTAAGATAAGCTGACTTCAGCTGAAAGGTGCAACCATATTCATTAACTTATTATTCAAATTATCACAAAATCATGATAACGCAAAGACTGCCCTCCACCTTACAAGTTCATTTCTAACTTTATCGCTCGAATGATGTTTACTCTGCTAACTCTCCTCCTTCTAACCCTGGCTGCTGCAAAGCAAGACTGTCCCAAATGTCGTGATCACTCCAGCTACGGCAGCTACGGCTCCAACTCTAACGTGCGAGACTCCTGCTCACGTGCAATAAGCTCCGCTAACAACAGCCCCTGTCCGGACGGTAAAGTATGCAAGGTCTTCAACGCAGGAATGTCAAGCAGGGTGGGCTACAGCTACTATAGTGTGAGCATCAAACAGATAGACTGCTTCCACCCCTCTGACACCTGCATGAGCGAGTATGGGCCCTCCTTTCAGTGCACGGATTCGTACCTCTTCAATCCTGACAAGTGCCCCGGATGCATGATCACCCAGGCTACGATCAGTGGGGTGGACTACACTGCTGAGGATACCTGCAACTATGATTCCTCCCAGTGGCACAGTTGTAACCGTGGTGTCAGCTGTAGCTTCCTCAAGTTGACCGGCAGGTTGTCCTCCACTTCCGGCTCCTATGATACGGTTACTGCCTACATCTTGGGGTGTGGACTAGACTACAGTGACTGTCGTGTAGCGGAAAATGCTCTGAATACAGTGCCGGGACTGACGATTTCTTATTGTAACGATGGCGAATTCCCAAAGGAATGGAACCCTTAGAATATTGAACTTTTTATGGAATTTACTTGGGCGTATATTCTTTTTTATGTGAAAACATTTTGTGTTGTAGACTAAAAATTTTTAAAAAAAAGTGAACTAATAAACAATTTTAAAGGGTAATGGCTGTAAGGGTTTGTGGGAATTTATGTCATGTTCGGGAATAACTATTTACCTATTAACTTATTAAAGATAGAAAATATTTGATTTAAATTGATTTTTTTATTGTGACTGAATAACTAATGGGAACTAATAGTTACTATAAGTACAATTTTGACAATCAACATTGAAGTTGTGTATTGTTTATCACGATTTTTTATATGCTGTCGTTTACAATTACTTCATTTGCATAATAGTCTTTTGCTCACACGCAAAACCATATCCAAAAACTCACAGATAATTTTAAATAGGGGCAAATCTTACTAGATTACTAATTCTTAATAAATCTTAATGAATCGTAATAAATCTTACCGTAGTCCTGGTAGAGATCATGAGCAGCGGTCTTGGGGACGTAGAGGATAGATCTGAATGTGACCTCTCCCTCAGCGGAGAAGTGAACATGAGCGAGGGGTTCATCAGAGTCCTTGCTGAAGCTCTTATAGAATGCATTGTAGTCCTCCTGTTCAACGTCCTTGGGAGCTCTGAGCCAGATGGGTTTGTTGTCGTTCATTGCTTCCCAGTCGTACACGGTCTTGTCTACTACCTTTACTTTAGGCTTCTCATCATCCTCATCCTCGACCTTGACGTCATCGTCGGTTTCTCCTTCTTTGGATTCGGCTGTCTCTTCTTCCTCAACTGGTTCCTCGACCTAAATTGAAAGTTTGTTTAAAATTTTGTGAAACACATCACTAAATACATTGAATTACGGTTTAATACGGTTTAATAAACGAGCTCACACTAGTAGAAATACAATATCGTGTATTCTACACAGTAATGGTCGAACAATATGTATACACGGTTACTCAAGCCCATGAATATATATATATCCAACCATCAAGCAATGGTTATTGGTTAACTATCCGAAATAGTTGGTTTTGATGCTGATTCACATGAGCATTGGGCAAATAAGTAAGGTGATTTGCCACTATAGAACTGGCTCACAGTACATTACTTTCAGTGAGTAACCCTAGTCACTAGTGGCTATGTACAATCCTTGATAGTTGATAGTGTATAAATTGTATATAATATGCGAGAGCATTCGCCCGTGTGCTCTGTGCAGTGTACAGTGTACATGGTCCAAGATAATAACCTACCCTATGAGTACATGATACCCCGTATTTTAAGTATATGATAAACTATTGTTGTGTATGGGTGTGTATGTACTATGTATAATTGTATAAACTCCGTGTTCGGAGGAAGTAGCTGGTAATAATCTCACCTGCTCAGTTTTACTGGTCCACAGATGAATGGGGAAGTTGATGAACTGAGAGTACTTCTTAACCAGATCCTTGATTGTGTTCTCCTCGAGGTAATCGTATGCTTCTTCCTTCATGAACAGACTGAAAGAGAGTGTGGATTAAACAACACGTGGAGGAGGGTTATGAAACAGTGCCCACCTGGAGCCACGTGTTACACACGTGATGTTAACTAGGTAATTAACCACCTGCAGAAACTATTAAAAACTAGGGCAGGTCTATTGTTCTTTCAGCACAAGGTAACGTAGCTTTAATAATAAGTTCATAGAGAAAGCATTGGACAGTGGACACGTAGCTCTAAGATTGGGAGACACGTATGCTATAACGCAACTCAACACTATGAGTATGACTGAGTAATTGAAGACAATGTGGTGACATTGTTTCATGCGGAAGTGAGATCGCGTCATTAAAAACAGAAAATCAGAAGTCGAGGTGATCTTCAACACACAATTTAGGGCGTCATGTAAATAAAAACCTTTAAATTGTAAGCTCACCTGATTTGGGTTCCTCGTCCAAGAGTATCTCCCCTGGGGTCTTTAGAGACGGTGAAACTGCTGGCATCAGATTCCCAGATAAGCTGCTCGTCATCGTTGTGTTTGGTGGTGACAACAACAGTATCAGCAACCAGGAAGGAAGAGTAGAATCCCACTCCGAACTGTCCAATCAGGTCAGAGTTCATGGTCTCACCGTCATCCATCTTGGCGAGGAACTCTGAGGTTCCAGACTTGGCGATGGTTCCTGAAAAGATCAATGGTTTAAGAACTCAGAAACTATATGTAGAGTAACCACCAAGCGCTCACTTGCCTTATGTTTTAAAATGTTCGATGACATAAAGTCGTTTTAATATGACTATGACTGCAATTTGTGTGTTACGGTTAATATTAATCCTCTTTCCCGCCAAATTCTCGTATCACACTAATACATTCAGATATTTACCACACAAGCCCACACTCAGCCTTACTCATCATATTACACATAATGTAAGGGATTTAATATGATACGAATAACTTCAGCGCGGTTATCACATTCACATTACTTCCTTCTGACCCTGGCACCAAGTTAGTTGCAATGCTTACACATTAGGAAACCCTTTAATGTGCTAGGCCCCCACTATATTTCTTATGTATCTAGAGAGCTTTGAGTGTAACTTGTTAGTATTTCATGCAGGGTGCTGCAGGACAATGGTATGTGGGTGAGCGAGTGTGCGTGTTGTTTCCGGGGGTGTTGTGGTGGTCATGTCTCAAGATTACGTGGCAATTTGTGCTGAAAACACTGTTCAGTTCAGCTGTTCACGGAATATGGAAAGACTTAAGTTCCTTAAGGGACATTGTAGCAGGTATTTGCAGGACAAGAGCATGAATGGGAAAGTTTCATGGCAATGCCGGGGATTGCTGTTATCAAATAAAACAAAAACAGTCCAATATGATGCTTGAGAATAATACGTAGCATGAATAAAATCGCAAGAACACAGACCAGTAGACCACATACACAGCAACCTGGAGGCAGTGCATCACTGCATCACTGCATGACCTAAACGTGTCAACAATATTGTGCATTCGGTTATACAAAACTTAATCTATGCAGTCTGATGAGGTGATCACAGTTTTATAATGAATATTGGAGGCTAAAAATGAATAAGAGAAATGTAAACAAGATGAAAAACCAATATCTGTAATTTGTATCTTACCGAGGTTTTTGACGAGATCTGCATGTGTCATTCCAATACCAGTATCGATGATATGGAGGGCGTGGTTTTCTCTGTCAGGCTTGATCATGACCTTGAGGTCAGCTGTTGCGGCCAAGACATTTGGGTCGGTCAGGGACATGAACCTGATCTTGTCCAGGGCGTCAGAGGCATTAGAGATCAACTCTCTCAGGAAGATCTGAAACAGGTTCAGTTTGATTAAAACACCGTCAGTAAAGTAGGGTTTGACTAGCCTGATTTTTGCTTTTAAACCTTAACACTGAAGATCAAAGAGACCTTAATTTCTAACGAGAAAGAATTAAGAGGCTGAGTGAATTGTTTCAAGATTTAAATATTGAAAATGTACCTCTTTGTTTCTGTAGAGGGAGTTGATGATAAGTTTCATCATCCTGTTTACTTCAGCCTGATATTCGTGCTTCACAGCCGAATCACGCATCGCCTTCATTTGAGAGACATTCAAACCATCTAATTTGATAGCTTCTTCCTCCCTGAGAAATTCAAGTTAAATAGTTAATATGTTAGGGTGCTACGTAAATACAGTAACTTAACAGTAAAATGAGTGCCTGTATAAATGTCATTTTATAACCATCTGAAAATGCAAAGAGTGCCTGTACTTTAACTCCCAAACCATTTAGTAAACTCAACCTTGAAGTTTTAACATCAAACCAATTAGTAGCATCATACTTACGTAACAGTTCGCACATTTTAACGATGCAAATTTGCGTAGCAGAATGAAAAGAGCTAGAGGTTGAAGCTTGAACCTTACGTTTTCAGATTATATGGGACAGTATAAGTAGGAGGTTTGAATAATCTTAAAAACTTATAATTTCATGCTCTACAACCATTCAAAGGCCGTAGACGGTAGAAGCTGCAAATCCATTTGCTGATAAAGTTATGTACAAGGTTTATGAAAATTAGTTTTCAATTACCTTTCTACAGTTTCATCATCGGTTTTGGAGCCGATTGTGCTCTTTCCAAGATCTTCCTCCACGGTTCCTTCGACATCAACTGCTTCATCTTCAGCTTTAGTCAGCCCTGCAGAAACATTAGTAGATTAGTTACAAACTGGAGGGAAAACTATTACATCACTGCTATTGCTTTGCAGTAAAAGCTGCTCTATTTCGCGAGCATGAGTCAGAGGGAAAAAGATAATCTTCGGTACAGGGGCAACATTAGCATATAACTAATCGCAGTAAAGTTGTAGTAAATGTGGTCTCCCAAATTGAAATGGATTTAGGTTATTGGACATGGAAGGTGTAGATAGTCCAATGGTGTAACTTTCGTAGTAATGGGGTTACCCTGGTCTATCTTAAGACTTGACAGCTAATAATGATGCACCTGCTGCCATTATAAAGGATCGTATAATACGGCGATTGAACCTTTTTAGAAACATTTTGAAAAGTTGGTGCAAAGGCTGAATAAGATACAATCTCATCTTTAAGTGTAGCACAAAAAAAAGTTGAATTAGCCGCCCAAACTTCATGTTGCGAGCAGCCCAACATATCGTTGATCGTAGAAAGTTCTAGAAGAAACAAAACGTTCGGAAATCGACTGAAATACATAGCCTGGGCTTTTATTTACCTGACAGGGCAAGGAGGCAACATATGCCTAAGAGGTAGATCTTCATAACCAGTCAAAGTTATGTGAGAGAGAAAAGTTCAACGACGAAAAGATGTATGATAGAAAAACTGTCAGAGGCCAGTAGCTCATAGGCGATGTACGCATCGTGGAGGGCTCTCATTGGTCAAGATATGGTCACGTGGGTCGCGAGCGCAGAGAGCGAGTTGTTAGCATTAGTATACTTTGTGGCGAGCGCATGTAGCTCCACGTAGTGTAACTCAAGTTGTCCTTCTCTTATGATATTGATTGCGTTTGTGTTTAGAACCGCTAACCTTTTACTTCTGTACTCGAACAGAAGTTATTTGTAAAAGCCTTCTGCAAGTTTTTGTATGAATTTTTAACTTGTGGTCGGAGGTGGTGTATCATAAACCCACTTTCAATGCTGACTGCAAGGTTTTTCTGGTTACTTCGTTCTGTATCATCAACATTTTTAGATTTGGCGGTTCTTCGTGAGACCATGAGCTGTTTAACTGTTTCAAAAGAAATCATTTATCAGTAATTACTCAGTAATGTCTGGGTTTCCCACCATTTTGACACCTCTAGTTTTGCTCATATTTTATACGAGACAAATATCTACCTTATAAAGTAAACTTGTCCTTGAAACTTGCTCAATAAACTGTATTAGATTTAATCTTACCTCCCCTCTTTAATTTAGTAGACTTTGGTGACAGTTCGCTGGGTATGAGGTTATTTAAGAAAGTGCTTGTCACTTTCTTCAGAGCACCGTCAAATAAACACGCGGTCTTCGTTGCAAAAACACCTATAAAAATATGTATTTAGTACATATTTCGGATAAAATCAGGGAAATTTATTCTCGTACTTCTGAAGCTATAAATACACTTGGAACTGAAACGGTGGGCGAAATCTAAGCTTAAGATCATAAGATGGTTGCAAGTCATTACCTGCTGTAGGATTAGGTCAATATGCAATGTATGTACATTGTACATTGTACCTACATGGACACTGATCATGTAAATGCCGCCATTAAATGTTCATATTATACAGGACACTGTACAAATATCCCGCAGCACTTGACACCTCAAAGCTTGGAAATATATAGCTTCAAATAATCAGCAGAATTGTCTACCTCTTTTTGAGAATATTTCTACTTTCGATGTCTTTGGTAAATGTCTGAATCCTTGCACGATTTCTGTCCCTGTGTGTATAAATTATATCAGAGCTGTTAACAGTTAGGATAATGAGTACATAGTGATAATCACACAGTCGCATCTACAATATACATTGTACAATATACATTATACATCACAGTATACAATATTTTGTAGCAACGAAGTGGTTCTCCACACTATGTTTTACCTCTCATATCAAATTACCAGTCATTCAATCGGATATCGAATTTCAAAATGTGAGTTAACTTCTACAACTCACTACTGATGCTCCTCTTCAGACCCTCGTGTATTCTAACTTCAACCGCTTCTCCAAACTTCACAGCCCTCTGTTTCCCCTTCTTGATTCCTGGTTTAGTTAGTCGCTCTGAGATTGGCTCGGTTCTGATGGTTGTTGAACTAAACTTGCTTGAGGTCGTGAGTTTTGCGCCTGGGTAGTGGTCCTATCACATCTATGATGTGAAATTCTTGTAAAGGTGATCAATCTAATCAATTCAAAGAGCCATTCTAATCTGTATTGTTTTCTATTTTCACTGTAAGCTGTTGGAGCTGTTTTTTCATCTAACTGGGAGAAGCTTGACTTTCATCTGTCCGAACTAGAACATGGAATCGGTTTCAGAACTGAACAAAAATCCCAAAAATGAGATCTTCGAAGAAACCAATTAAAATCAATATAATTACTTGTTGCACATTTCATGAAATTTTTCTGTTTTTCTTCCTCAACTCCCATGTTATTCTGTCCCTGTGTGTGCTGGAGAGCAAACATGGCTCTTGCTGCCATTTGAAAACTTGTTGCTGAAATCAAACAAGTTACCTCACTATCTTACTACTACTATCACTTTTTAATACCTCTAGTTTATAAAATGATACATAGTTAAGTTTGCTCTACATCTAGGTGCTGGTGTGAAAACAAAAAATTAACAATGAGTTCACCTCGTCTGATAGCAGTTCGTGGATCTTGTAAACCTGAAGCGATTTTGATTTATAATTAGTTTATTATATTTGTCATTTAAAAAGCAAAATTAGAGCATCCCTTTTCATAAAACCTGACAACAAATATCAGATTGCATAAGCTTTTGCACCAACTCCCCTGGGAAATGCTTACAGACCTCACAATTTTATTTTTGTGGCGTTTATAATTATACAGGTAAAATTCTTAAATTGTATGTATATTGTACGATGATTCGGGATTTCTACTCAGGACTTGTTTTAACACGGTTCTAACTGTCAGACTTATATCTTAGCTCCACAGATCCTTCTCTGATGTTAACATGCTACTCAAAAGAATTTGTGGTTCTGGTTACCTGGCCTATCTATCCATTGTGACATTTTATCAATAACTGCAGATTTTAATTTGTGTGAGATAACGTGTACTACACAGTGTACATATTAACATATTTCTAAAATTCCAACAATGCACATTTTAACCCACATGTTGATTAACCTTGAACATGTGTGTAGAATATGATGTGAAAGATAGTGGTTGTGATGCCTGCACCAAGCAGGATGTTAATCTCCCTACTAACAACTCTCCTCCTCCTAACACCCTCACTTCTTGCTGACAAGTCCAAATGCAAAGTGTGCAAGGATATGACCGAACATTTCCAAGAGGTAAGAAGGGGTATTTTTACCATGGATGATTGATTTGATCGTTGAGAGTCAGAGTAGTAGTCAAAGTAGAGAAATTTTTGATGTAGTTTAAAGAATACTTATGATTCATCAACGTTACATATTTTAAAGACAAGTTTAAACTTGTCTTACTTTAGCATTTTGACAAGACGAAAGGTCAGAACTACGGAGGAGGTAACACAGCTTGGGAAGAAAAGAGTCTGGGAAGGGGAACTTATGCGACCAGGTTCGTAGTACGAACTTCGTACAGTAGACATTAAAACGCTGCCAGTTTTAAAAGATGTATTTAGTATAATTACCAATCTACTTCAGTAAATATTTGATATAGAGTCGATATTCTGTGTTCGATACATGGCATGGTGGTTGAAACATAGCCCCCCCCCCGGCCCCCCCCCCGCCCCCCCCTAACTGACCTGTTGACGAGCCAGAGGCTCCGGAGTCAGGGGTGCTGGAATCCAGCAGTTTGTACTGGTGCTCCATCATGATACTCTTCAGTCTCTTCCTCCGCCGTCTTCTCCTTACGTCGAACATTATAGTACTCTTATAACAATTGAAATACAGATTAAGAAACACACATAGGAGATTTTGAATTTTAAGTGATCCCAACAGCCAAATTCAAACTGTTCCCCTAAACGGCTAAACTCTAAAGTAACAAGATCCCTCCAAACCCCAGTGAGACCCGATTGGTTGAAATCCTTGACGTGACTTGCGGAAAGTCAGATTACAAGGTAGAAAGATATTATGCCCGGCATGAGTTCTTGTAATCTCCCTTATTGCCGATTTAGCTCATAGCTGTATAGATTACTTTGCTGACCGCTACTCTTGGCACTTTCCCAATACAAAAGGAGTCACCCACTCAAAAAATCAAAAACCTCTGATTTCGGTATGGCAGACAAATCACGACCGGGAGTTAGTGTTATTACATGATGAATCAGAGTAAATGAACACAAATTCATACAATGATTATAGAAGATGATTGGGGTTTGATTGTTATCAGTGTTTTGTTTTTCAGTGAAACCCGCCTTGTCGAAATATTAGAAAAGACAGCAAAGAAATGCTACTACAAAGTGAGTTTAAGAAGATTGTACGAGTTTGAACTAGTTTTAAATGTCACTTGTAGTATAGATTAGCAACAATTACCTGCAGACACGAAAAATACGTAAGAACTAGTGAAAATCACTTCCGGGAGAGTTCAGAACATGTTCAAAAGTGCCATATTGTACTAATTACTTTAATTATCACGAACAATAATTAACCTCTCCCAATGCATTTGACCCAACGTAATCGGGTGTCATGTCGTGTTAACAAATTGTACAACTTTGTCACAACTAACCACAAAACTTAAATTTTATTGCCGATATATGACTACTGCTTTTGCAATTTTTTACAGAATTTTCCAATCGTAATCCATTCAACCTAATTAACAGAGTAATTAGTGTCCTCACCTTCAACTTGTTCATTCTAATTTCTTTGATCATCATTTAATTTCATCCATGATCTCTCCAAGATTGCTGATTTGCACGGCAGGAATTAAGCTGACTGCATGACATAAACGCTGTCATCTGCCAAGCATGATTTTTCATTTCAAAATAGTTAATGAAGTCGCCAATTAAAATTTGACATAATAACGCTGCTGAACCTTATATTAATGACTTTATATTTGCAGTGTGGTAGCTTGTTGGAAGATCAGGAAGAATATTTAGAAGAATGGTTCAAAGAACGGTAAGATTTAAATCGTAGTTTCTGATCAGTTTCAAGGGCTCTACTAACTCTGTTTATACTTTATCGACAGATATAATTAAGTTGACAGTATGAGTAAGAGTAACTTTTATACAGACAAGATAAGACGGATCTCTTCGAGGATCTGTGTGTCAACCACCTCAAGAGATGCTGTCTGGAGAACAGATGGGGACCAGATTGTGCTGAGTGTCCAGGAGGTGTCGAGGAACCTTGCAGTGGACATGGAAAATGCCGGGTTCGTTCTACTTTTATTTATTTATACTCTATTTATAGCAGACAGTGCTGGAAATTGAAAATTGTTATCTTCGTTTTAAAGTTTAAGTTTCGTATTTTAAAGTTTAAGTTTCGTCATCATGTATTAAGAAGTTGTGAAGTATTTAATTGATGATTGGGAACTTATACTTCAGGAAGAGGGAGAGCGAGAAAATAAAGCAGTAAAGAATATGGGAACCTGTAGTTGTAACCCAGGATACAAGGGCACCGTCTGTGACGAGTGTAACACCAGATACGTCAAAGTTGGTGAAACTTGCGAGGGTAAGTACTGTAGCACTTGCGAGGGTAAGTACTGTAGCACTTGCGAGGGTAAGTACTGTAGCACTTGCGAGGGTAAGTACTGTAGCACTTGCGAGGGTAAGTACTGTAGCACTTGCGAAGGTACGTACTGTAGCACTTGCGAGGGTAAGTACTGTAGCACTTGCGAGGGTAAGTACTGTGGCACTTGCGAGGGTAAGTACTGTAGCACTTGCTACTAGATCTAAGGAATTTGTTATTCGTGGACATCGTGTAATCGTCTAAATCGTGACAAGGACTCTTCGGTACAATTCAAACCTGGCATGTGTTATATTTTCAGAGTGCAGTAAGCTGTGCAAGTCTCAAAATTGCACTGCTCCGGGACCAGCGGGCTGTGTTGAATGTAGGATGGGCTACGAAATGGTGGAGGGAACTGGTTGCACTGGTACGTGGTTTTAGCTCATGGTTTTATACTTCTGATATTGATATACTGGAAGATAACTATTAAGACTTCGTGTCATTTGTTCATCTACTAAGCTATTAGAAGATCAAGAACCCACTAACTAGTCGATGCAGTCACTCAAATTGGCAACATTTTATTTGAATTCACGTGCGATCTTTCCTGTCCCTAAAACGTGCGGCGGTAAAATGGGAGATATCCCATCAAATTATCTTAGTCTGATTTGATTGACACGATTACCAACCTACCAAAACTCCCAAAAACAATGAATTAACGGGATCGTGATAACCCAAACTGAAGCTGCAACAAATTACCTCAATTTTATGCCAATATCCCGCCCTAACGTTAGATCACACCCAGATATAAACGAGTGTGAGAGAGAGGGAATGGGGTGCGGTGACCCGCTGGAGGATTGTGTGAACTCTGCCGGAACTTACGAGTGTATCTGCAAGGCAGACTATAAGAGGGTGGACGGAAAATGTCAGCTTGAAGGTAGCGCATCCTTCTTACCTTTTGATAAGGATAATATTTTGATAGCTGCTGGAGTGCATGTTTTTCTGTTGTTTTTGGGTGTTTCTAGTGTTGGCGTTCGAGGAACAGCGGCACTGGGGATTATTTATATGGTTGGGTTTGCAACTTTTACTGTTGTGAGGCTGTACAGGGAAGGCGCATTTTAGATTTAATTTAATTTATTAATTTTATTGAGCTGATTTTGAATAATTAAGACGACCCTCTATACGAGGAGGTGCATTTGTTTTATAATTTTTACTACTATAGTTTATTTAACATATTTTCACTTCAGTTTGAAGACAGATATATTTATTTAAAGCTGGTTTGTATTCAATACAATATAATATAGTTTGTGTATTTTGAAAAGTTTCGATACATAGCCGGGAGTTTTAATGTCTAAAATTTTGCCAGATTTATACGCTAGTGAGGATGAGGAGGATGATCCGGTAGAGGGGGATGAAACTAAAGAGGAGTCAGAAACAGCAGCTAACGAAGATGACACGGCAATTTCTGAAGAAAAAGATGATGACGATTATACGGAAGTTGAGGACTCAGAGGACACTAAAACTCCAAAAGACTCAATTAGTTCCGAAGATAAGGCTGAATCTGTAGAGGAGACTAAAAGTAGAGATGAATTGTAACATCAGATGATTAGTTGTATTCATCAGAATAGTATCACGTGACATAATAAGAACTAGCTTTTACATTATCACACACGACAACCTGCAATCTTCATATAAATTTTCACTATTTTAATTTTATTTATTTCCTAAGGATTAATCAGACGGATTGTGATCATCATGTTAGGATTTTGTATAGCGACCGGGTTGATGCTATTGTATAGCAACTATATTCGTATATAGTAGTATGGTTTAGTTTTCAATTTAAATAACAAATAAAATGATCATACTTTTTTTTTCTGTTTCACACGTAATTAATTGTAAAATACAGCTGCTCTCAAATCATCAGAAAAGATAGTAAGTATCCAATAAACGTAAATTAAGCATATAATAAATATCAAATTCTCAACTTTATCTACTAGTACAAAAGTGGCCGTTATGATTCCAATGATTTTTACTCGAAATTAATTAAATACATCAAAATTGTAAATTGAAACTCTACATATAAACACAATTTAGGCAAAAATATATTAGGAAATTTTGTACCTACAGGTACCATTGGGCCTTTCGTTACGCCACTGGTACCATTATAAGAAACAATCTCTAAAGCCACCCAAACAACCGTGTTATCAATAATATACATTTCACTCTCACCCGCCAACAGATTTTATAACAGTAAACTAAACATGGAATTATATTTACAAAAGTTTAATAGAGTAGGCAATAATAATAACTTTGTGTCGATATCTCAAATATGGTACAGAGTGACCAAAGTAGACTGCTTAAGTAGACTGGTTATGTCTGAAGTCTGAGATATGAACACATAAAAACTAAAGAGCAAATTCAACTAAAGTGGCATGTTCCTGACAAAACCAAGAACAATCTATAAATAGGACATTACTGGACGGTCTGTATTCTTGATGGTGATAGTAAACCGACAATTTTGATAAACATTTTATTCCCTCCTAACCCCTCAATTTGTTCTAACAAGTCTTTTTCTAATGTCTCTAGCAACTCCGTTGTTTCTGACTTGACTTTTAATGATTCCTGAAAACTATTAGTGTGAGGAGATCATATGACAAAATTTATGAAGCTTGCCTGTTAGGTTAGTTTGAAAAAGAAGACAGGAAGTAAGCAAATTGGCCCGCACAATTTTGCATACAAAATGGAGTGAAAATATTGCAATGTTGTGTACTACTTACCAAGACCTGACAGCAGTAACTTTTAATCTCATCACTAGTTGTTCGTTGTTTTAATATGGACGTGACCCTAGTAGTCCCTAGCTCCCTCTCTGAAAAAAAAATCAGTTTTAATTAAATATGACATTAACTACCACACAACAATGGCGTAACGAAGGGCCCCGCTGAGCGGGGTGGGGGCGCCATCTTAGGGGGGCGCAAAATAACTTGTTAATATCCGTACTCTACCAGTGTCACTCATAGTAATAGTATTTTTTTCCGAGAAAAATAGCAACGCTTACGTCAATGCCATTAACTATCAATTTGTGTGACATGTGCATAGTGGCAAAACGTAAATTGACGTAAACGCAGTTATATTACGTAATACAACTGCGCGCGCAGTGATCTAACACCCATTAATATCTAGACAAGAAACCTGCTCAGCTCGATTGAATTATAAAATAAACGCGCGTGCTGCGCTGAGCATTCAATAATTTTGTTATTCGCGCTTTACGTAAAAACCGATCCTGAAGTAGAGTTTCAGCGATATTCAGAGGATGTGTTCTCGGTTTTTGTAGCACGGCCCTATCTTGTGATTTGCCAACTTTCGATCTATAACCAGTATTATTCAACCTTATTTTACCTTAACCACTCTAAAACGGTCAGATGTAGGTGGGGGCACCGGGTAAGCGTGCCACAAATGGGGGCAAAAAATGGGGCGTGCCACAAATGTGCCACAAATATTGAGAATACATCGCCTTGTTTGTGTCCTAATCGCGTCCGACTGTCTCTAGAATCTAAACACTTTTATAGCGGCGAATAACCGAACAAATAAAATAAAAGATTCACCGCCTTAATGACCAACCAGAAATTCCTATTTACGGAAAATTGTCACTAGTACTTTTCTACTACTTTTCTTTAGAGGCAGGAAAATTTGATTGTAAAATAGCCTATTACAACCTTATCGAGACTGTCGGATTGATCTACGTAAAGGGATTCGCATACAGCATCAAAAATTAAGTTTATTCGAACCATACGTACCTCACGGATAATTTAAACTTCAGACATGCATTTGAGGGTTTAAAAGTTAAACAAGAGACCTACAGTCGCCTGTAGCTGTAGTGACTATTGTCTGGGAATTAAAATTCTTTGTGTTTTAAATTACCCCGTCGCAATGCAAAGTTTAAATTGAATTACGGCTAAACATCGAATTCCGATACATTTTAATACCAAACAGTTTGGACGATGTTGAATTAGCCCAATTTGGATCATGGTTTAGATACAGCATAATTCAATATTTTACAGACAGAGTCACATCTACAGTAGACATAAGTTTTCAGTGCTGTCTCGACAAACACCACCAATATGCAGTATTATCTATATTCTATATTTACATGGCTACATGTAACAGGTGAAACTACACACGGTACTGCGGTACATAACACGGATGTTTTTACATGTAAGCCTACTCACAACTCAACTCTCTTTACAGAGTGTAAGTAACAAGTTAATGACCGTTTGATGGCCGGTTAATGATGGGTTGAAACGGTTAAAATATGAGTTAAAACGGTTAAAGGTAACATTAACAGGCACAGGAAATGCTCCTTATTGGTTAAGTTTCAAACTCGCTACTTCCACATTGCACATGGTACTAAAAGGAGCTGCTGCTATAGTTCGTGTGTGAGGTTACAAACGGGGTTATAAGGTTACAAGGTGGCAAATGGGTGGCATATGTCCCCAACTAAGTGTTTACTACATAAAATTCGATGAAGCATGGGTCAATTTTCAGGGTTGTTTCGTACGAGGAAATTGAATTTCATCTAGTTAAGACTGGTAATTTTACAAGTTGAGACTTGAAAACAATAGATTTACTAACAGACTTATTTAGTGTCTTTTAAGGCTGGAGCTTGGTTAAATAATGCTGAGCTTTTGGCGCCGAAAAGAGGGTGATATTGATACTTATAAAACCTGTATTATTTGTTATTATATTCCATAATGAAAATTCAGACATACCTTTTATAATTCCTTGAATGATAACCCAAGAGTATTTACCCTCAGTTAAGTCTTCACAATAACTCTTATTAGCTGCATACTTTACGTCCCACAGATTACAGAAATCATCTCGTATTTGAAAGAATTTGGAAAATGTCTCCAGGAATTTCCGTCCATTATCGTATACCAGCTTTGTCTCTAAAACAAAAGGGTGGATTTCAAAATCTAATTTCTCATCTAATGTGCCGTTTCAGACAGAGAAAGATAGATTAGATTAATCGAATGCTGTGATTTCGTTTCTCAATTGATATAACTAAATCTACAAATCAAACAAATGCTGGGCCCTAGGTAATTGGTGCCACATTAAGACAGATTCATAGCATATTGAAATTCCGTACATACCTGACTGGTTACGGAAAATGTACATTAAATCGAATGCCAGCATCATGAGACCGCCAGTTTTCTTTAAGACCATGTCAATGTACTCATCAACAGTGGGGCAAATGTAGTGATCCCTCCAATGTATATCCAGACCCTGAAAATATTTGCAAATATTAATGTGATCAACAGATTTACTGCCCAACTCCCTCGCTAATATTGAGGTTTCTTCAATACGATATAATAATGTTTGATACCTGTAGCTTGGCAGATCTACATGTAGGTTTTTTAATAGTAAATTCCAGGATACCTTTCCTAACAACTGCCTGATACTACCAGACTATCCGTACCTACCTCGGCACATTCTTACAATTTCTATATAAATTATTGAAGGAACTGCTAACTAATGATTACACGTTACATATTCAAATATAGGGCCTGTGTTTAATGAAGTTGCTGAGAATTAGGAAAATTTCCCCCTTTTCCGGGTCTGGTGTCGACATGATGTGAACTAATAACTTTTTTAATGACCTGTACTTCTTATCCACATCCTGGAGCCTGTGTGTCCAGTTCTCTCAATCCCGGTAACTTACGTCCTGAATCCAACGAATTACTCCTTATATGGTGTTTGCGTTGATAATGGTAGGGTTGAGACCAGAATAAGACAGTGTCAACCACAAGTGCCAAACATTCTGACTCTGATACTCAGGGGGGGAGCCAAGTGGATATTTGTAGATATTTGTAGATTAATGTAGAATGGATAATCCACGAAAAAAGTGGATGACATTCTACAAATTTATACATTTATCTCCAAAAATTCAGTAGAATTTCTGGGCACATATTTGAGATTACATTTTTTGTAGATAGATATCTTATCTTATCTTATCTTATGAGGATTCGTTGCGACGCAACAAGGCCATCGAATGAGTCGACCACCTTTGTTATTTTACTTCGGCATTACCTGCATTACAATGTAAACCAGCACTTTCAAGGAAGAGCTTTACAAGAAGCCGAAGGATCGTTCCTAAGGCCAGCAACGGTTAAGGCACTATGCCACACTTTCTTCGCCCGAGGCTTCGCTGTGTTGATCAAGCACAGCTCCTCATTTAACCCTCACACCCGATTTCTCGAGCATTCGGCTGAGTGAACCGTGGGGCTACATAGACCACTCGGGATCCTTAGCAGAGCGTCAACGACGCTCACCCCACGACTAGGGGGGTGAGCGTCGTTGACGCTCTGCTAAATGTAGATATTTGTAGATTATTGTCAATTATGGATAATTTACGAAAATTCTACAAATTCTACAAATTTATACATTTATCTTAAAAAATTCAGTAGAATTTCTGGGCACATATTTGAGATATACATTTTTTGTAGATAAATGTAGATATTTGTAGATTATTGTCAATGGATAATTCACGAAAAAAGTGGATGACATTATCCAAATATCTACAAATATCCACTTGGCTCCCCCCCTACTCAAACTAGCAAGGGAACCAACATTTTAAAACTACAGTTAGCTCTGCCAGCCTGCCAGAACGACAGCACGGAATGACAGATGGCATCAGTAAACTGGAATTAGAGTACGAAACCGAAAACCTTGTTTGTGGAACCCCACCAGAACCGACGAACGCAATTTCGGTCGGTTTTAACAATTAAATAAAGCACATTGTTTGGTTTCAACGTCATACTGCTCTTGTTAAAGCTGCAGAATTATATGAATTGGGTCTTGGGACCTTAGATTTGAAATCAGTCGGCAGAAACGTTGTTATCAGTTCAGTGATCTGAGGAACCCCAGAACAAGCTTAACCAATTTCGCTGTCTACGAGTTTTGCCCTTTTCTCAAAGTCTTCCTAATTCCTTCGAGTCGTAAAATATTTTGATATTTATGCAAAAATGCAAGATTGCTATGAACAATTATTGCAGAACCCCTTGGCTAATGTTGGGATAATTAAGCCTTGGCGCTTAAGGCTATGTTTTGTAGCTTCGTTGCTAAGATGACTATTTATATCTTATACCTATTTAGTATATATAATATGGCTGGCTAATGAGTTAAACAGCTAAGCAAAGTAAGTACTAGTAGAATCTTGATTCCATTAATTATTCATGCACCCTACTGCACAACACACACTGGCCTCTTTTAAACAGATCCCCTAGTCACGTCACAAACCTATATCTCATATAATATATTATGTGATATAGGTTTGTGACGTGTATATTAAATGTTCATCTTCATGAGCGGACTGTTGCTGGTTTGTTTCTAAATACTCCTCACAAATACTCCTACACTTAATAAAACCTCCCACACAAAGTAAACCAGATCAAGTAACATATTTCAAATTCTTTGAAACTATTGCTGACGTCACCATCCATTAGTTCTACTACCACCAGATACCCCAAATTTCAGGGAGCTTCTCCTGCTACCTTACGTAATTCAAATGTACCTGGCCATCTAGTTACAAGATACAAAACCACCAGAGATATTTTAAAATATTCTCGACCGTTCCATGCCAGATGAAGCGGGAAACGTTATTAATGTGAGATCTTATTAAGGACTTAAGATTGAATATCAAATCAGATTTTGGGTTTAAATATCGGTACGGAGTGCAACTCTTTAGCGTTCAGGGTCCTGGCAGACCCATCCAGACCCGGACGTAGAGCAATTCGAAGGACGAAATATCGAATGTTTTTCCGGCCAAGGCTAGCCAATATGAAATGGAGAACAAACATAATTATATGATTAATTGGTGAAGCAACTTTAAGATTGGATATAATAACAAACATTAGTCTACTGGTTTCTGAGCTCCAGATCCAATAATCTTCAATGTTGATATGAATATGAAACAATGAGCAAAAAATTGAAAAGTTTTTTATTCTAAAAAAACAGATAAAATCCCACACACCTGTCCCTGATGGAGTTTGATCATCCAATCGTGAAATATCTTACTAGCTTCACTCTTATCAACATTTTTAGCGGTCGTCATGCTTCCCAACTCCAAGGCTATCTTACCCGCTTCGAAGTACTTCAAATTGGCAATGTTGATTACCTGCGAGATATGGGCGCTGGTTTAATATCGGGATCACTGCTAATTAATTGAAAGTAGCAAGCATTATCACGTTTTGTTTTCAGAATCCTCAAAGTTTGTATTTTAAAATCTGATTGAATGAAAAATTTAAACGATTGGATGTACGGAAATTCTCACATTATTAGCTGTTTTTATTATCGATAGCTCGAAATTAATTTATCTTCTGTTGTTCTGACCAAATTCAACTAAACGGCGACTAGAGCAAGCCCGGTCCTTCAGCACCCTAGCTATATATGACGTGTGTATGACGTATTTCCCGAACACTTTCTATGCCTGATTGGATTCAGAATCGCGAAAACTGAATTTATATCTCTCAGAAAATGAAAGACTCAAAGAATGCCCACCTCCGAAATACCGTATATAAGATACGCGGCAGGCTGGCCTCTCCTCATCTTGCTATTATCCTGAATGTCGTCTATAAGGAGGGAGGCTTCGTGGAGCATAGTTATCACTTCCTTTATTTTCTGCAGCACATTCTTCTCCACGCCCAGCCACAGGTTCATCGCTTCTATCGTCTGGTCCCTGATCTGGTGAGGAAGGAACTTGTTGAGATCATGTCAAATATTTTTATAAATGACAGGCGAGAAGGGCAGTCTAGTAACACTAACAGTCGAGATCTTACAGTAGAATCTGTCATCATATTTAGGGTGTTTTCTTGTTCATCTACTAGTCTTAAATATGTAATATAATCAAATATGTAATATAATTTTCTATATTAAAATACAGTTGCGTTATCCTTGTGTCCCTCTGAACCAGTTACAAACTAATTAACTTTAATAATTAATACCTACTCCGACTTTAATATACAATTATACGAGAGTAATTTCATTGCTACAGGCTACTCATAATTCTACCTATAAATATTTGCATTATTTTCAATTTTAAGTAATGAATTTATTTGTATCATGTAGATCATCTGAAACCCTTGCTGTTATTAGTATTACCTGATACCTCAATAATACCTAGCGGGCTTCAGTACCATTCACACAAGTTTAATGTGAGATATAGCTAATTATAATTCAATATTCGAATCGTACGAATGACACCTAATCGTACGAATAACCCACAGAAAGCTTACATCACGTTTTTTCTGTATGTTGTTTTAGTTACCAAGATTATGAATAGAAGTACAGATTTCTCTTAGATATAAGATATCTATAATTAGAAACAGCTTAAAGTTTTGCTTAATCAGTTTATAAATATCGTTAAAGCACTTGATATTAGTCACCAAACTATATAACCCGTATGGTAAGACACTTAGAATTAGTTAGAATATCTCACCGGACCAATAATAACTGTGGGGATCAGAGTTTACAAATTGAGGGACATCACATAGTCAGACTGTGAACTGAGTTTCTAAGTGATTATATCAGACTATCTAACTGATCTGTATCGCACCATGCAACGCTCACGCGCGCTCAAAAGTATTGATCATGCTTTTGTGTTATTCAGTCTAGAATAGTCTCCTTCATCGAAGTATCAGCTTTGATAACATCAGAATTCAACATTTAAGAGTTCGGGCAAGATTTGTGCCGTCATTGGTTATCTTTTTAAGAGCAAATCGTGCATGTTGTCAACAGAATACACATATTTTAGGATAGATCGTGCAAGTGCGTGGATTTTCTTAATCATATTCAAAGCAGATGCACGTGCACATTTCTACCTGCACGTGCAAAGTTCTACCTTCGGAAACAGAAGGTTCAAGAAGTCCTGTTCCAATTCCTCTCCAATGGGCGCTTTTCTTATATCCCCTCTGCCACACAAACACACATTGTGGGAAGGAACTGGACTTTTGCATTTAGTCAACTCAAACTCGTCGGTAGAAATCGACTGGTAGAAAATGGATTTGGATTGGTTTAATGTATTCATGTTTGGGGAGGTTAAGATATGGCGACCAAGCAAGTCAGCAAAAATTACCAATTACAAAACCAATTTCACACAGTTTAGAATATACCTAATCATTGACTATTTATTACATCACTGATTTTTGATTTATTTGGTATTAGGTTAAAATTCGTGCAGGAAACTGAGAGATATATTGTTAAGCCAAAGGTTATAACATGCCGGATTCCACCGCTTTATTATCTCTCAATTTACAATTGTTTGGCATTTTGCCGTTGACTTAAATCAATGTCTTGGTTTACATTATCAAGGAAGGAACCGATAAATTATTGATTATCACCTGATTACTCAACAAGCATCTAAATTAAAGTTTAACATTTCTATTTCAAGTTTTGCACTTTACAGTTTCCTGACAAAATCGATCACTGGCTTTTTCTGGTATGGGCATTGGGTAGCTACGAAATTTTATTTCGAGCACGAGTTGAAACTTTTAGACCTGTCAAACAGGAAATCATATAATGTGATTATAAAACGAAACTCCAGATTCAATCATTGTCTATTCGTTACACATGCAGGACATCAAGATACAGTAATATCAAAGAACATTACAATTCATCTAATCATATGCCTTATCTAATATCTATGCCATATATGTACCATATATGTGCCACCAGGCTAGTAATCTTAGGCCAGTCATTTGATATTGGTGGGAGCTTGTGAGAAATGACAAGATATCGGATTATAAATTTCTTTGATAAAGCTTCAGTGCACTAGGTACTGTTAATTTCATAACCATTAACCATGTAATATCTAGCGTATATTGATGCAGTTATATTACATTGGTTAAGTCTAAATTACTGTCCTAATCACTACAAGATGGATCACATAAAGTTAAGTGAGCTAGTTATCAGTCATTAGTATGTGTAATATTTGATTTGGTGAAATCTAATCAAAATAAGTTAATTTAAGATTAACTTAACTTATTTCTAATTAGATTTTAAACTTGACTTACTGCTTTGCCAGGGACTTGGGTGTGGTACTTGTAAGGTTCCTCCAAACATCTCATGTACTTGGCATTAACTTCGTCTTCAACATTGCTGCTTGTATGACCGCTTGCATGACCACTCGCATGACCGTTAAGATTCTTTTCTTTTAACTTGTCAACCGAGCTGCCATTGCAATGTGTCATATCTAAAAGAAATACTACAGTAAAGTACCTAGCTACTAAGCTACTGTTTTCAAAATGAATCGCTCAATTATCTGTGTTTATAAAACAAATGGTGCAGACACAAAAATAAACATACCAAACAATCACTCACTACACCAAATATCGGATTTCCAGGAGGAGGGGAGGACTACTGGTACTAATTACTGGGTAGCTATTAAGTAACCATAGTAATTATTGAACACAACCACCGAGCAGCTCTTAAACTAAGAAAAGGGGAAACAATAAACAAAGAATTGGTTAAGAAGAAATAATAGCAACCATTAGTATTGCATTGTGGAAAGTGCCCAATTAAATAAGGACCATTGTCCTGAACACCGTAAAACAATAAACTGAAATTAAACAATTCTATGATAGTGTACATTACATGTGAAAAGGTATCAGCCACCTCTTAAAAGTATGGGCTCCCCCCCCCCCTCCCCCAACACAAAATAATTGTAACAAATCTGATTACACGGTCTACAATAAACATTTTAATTCTCACAATAAAGAGTGCCCATAATAAAGTGGTATTTTCCCTTGTATTTGGGTCGAGGAGACGAGAAGTGAAATACTTTAATTTGGGTACGTGATATCGATTTTGCAAGTACAATCTCAATATTTCTCAACCCTCACGGAGGAGTGTTATAAAGTTTTTGTACTCTATAAGTGTATATTCACCTACAAGCATAACTGCTTGGCGTGATGAGGTACATCTTTGATTGGTCGAAGGTCCTTCAACAACACAGCATCATCACTTTCATAGTAGTCCCCGGCTTATGACGGGTTCATAGCGGTATTAAACATGTTTTTCTGGGCCCAAACATTCTACGCTCCTACTATGCTATTACTGGTCTCTTGACTAACTCTCAATCATCTAGTCTGTCCATATGGTAGTGTTTCTGGACAAATAGATGGTATACGATGCCCTCAGGCTGATCTCAGCGATCTTCATGCAGGCCTTCTTCTTCTCTTTGTTCTTTACGTTCAGGTGGTTCATAAATGTTGGGAGGCTATAGTTGTAAATGCCTCGAGCTCCCACTTCTACTGTCTGGAGCTTGCAAGCCCATCCGTTGGCTTCTATCTCTTCTGTCAGCTGCTGATATCTCTTTATCTTTCAATATCCAACACAATATACTCAAAACTCCACTGCCACCTCTCTGGCCTAATCCAAAGTGTACCCAGATAGTCAAAACAATTCCAAACTGTTTGCAATCTCTAAACAATCCCAAACTAAACTCCCGATAACCAAAACAGAGGTGTGAAAAGTAAATCTATGCTAAAATACTGAACAAATACTGACATTCATAAAAACATAAAATATAGAAAACAACATTAATCAAGATAAGAATATAAAAAGTTGCAAGTCTGTTGCTGCCAAAATTACCATAAAACACCCACAAAAGTAATAGAACTTGTACACATAAAGCCAATATATGATTTTTGTGGCTGATCAAATGAACCACTTACATTGCAGTGTGCTGCAAACAAAGTACAGTAATACCCCGATTTACTGCCGAGTTTGGGAGAAAGGTAAAAGCCACAGTTTTAAATTTCAATACTTTCAACACTACTATATAACAAATAATTTGAGGACCCCTAAACTGCCACTAACTCAAATTTTGTCACTACCTCCCATGACTACAGTTTAAGACCTGCTCCCCTTTCAGCAGGATTTTTTGAGATGCCCCCAAAGATAAATAAGGAAAATAAAGTGGCCGGGCCGGAATCGTCAAATTATATACAATTACAGGCAAATGTAAAGATAATCACAAGAATGATGAACCTATGTCCAATGATCCTATGTCGCCCAATATGGCCTCCCCAAATCCTAATAATCAGAAAGTATTAAACTCAACCGATCCTATCAAACCTCAATCCTCTTCTTCGAGATATGACTTTCGGCGCCACATCAGAATATAGAAACCTTTGTTAAATAAACCTCAAGTCCTAGAAGTAAACTCCAATCATAAAACAATAGTTGATAAGAGAAAAAAATGTAGACCGAATGAGAAGGATAAAATAGATGACGTATGTCCTATATGTAAAACCAGAGTTGAATGGCATGTATATTGTATATGTAGATGCTTTGCAGTGTGAGGAGTGCGAGGTTTGGATTCATAAGGCCTGCTTGTGTATGAGTGATGAAGAGTATGATGATCATAAAACCAGTGAAGATGATGAATGGTATTGGGACTGCTGCCAGTTGAATAGATCAAATAATGTGACATGGGGTACCATGGTTGGGGAAGGGTGTATACGGTCAGAACTTACGGGGATATATGATGAAATTATTACATGGTGTAGGAATTTGTTTATGGTGCTAATGGGTAAGAGTGGGGAGAAGTTTATCAAAGAGTTGACACGACTTTTGTACCTTTTTGTGAATAAAACGGCCTGGGAGTCTTTCACTGCAGCTAGTCCATATATTTATCCCTAATATGTTACAGAAGGCTTCATGTAAGTCCAAAGCTAGAGGCAATGCGAAGTACTTGGTAGATAGACTAGAAAAGTGGAAGGATGGTGACCTCAATTCCCTCATGGATGAAGCTCATGTCATCCAGGAGAAGCTAAAACGAAGGAAAAAGTATGAAGATTCATCTCAAATGAAGGGCTTTAGCAGGTTAATGATGGTGGGTAAAATAGGTCAGGCCATGAAGCTCATCAACAATGAAGACTCAGTTGTTGGGTTACACACATTGAATAGAAAGATCAAGAGTCTATTACAGGAGAAACATCCTAAAGCTGAGACACCTCCAGCTGATATCCTTCTACCTATAACAGCGCTGCAGGCACAGTCGGTGATATTTGCTGAAATATCTGCAGAGCTAGTTGAGAAAGCGGCACTTCATGTTAAGGGTTCAGGTGGCCCAACCCATTTGGATGCAGTGGCGTAACGAAAGGCCCTGCTGACCCCGCTGTGCAGGGGGGCGCCGTCTTAGGGGGGCGCCAAATCGTCGTTTGAATGTGGGACAATTTCGAAAACTTAACTAAAGTACTAGCAAAATTGCGCGTTTTGCTCTAGATACACACTTTTTTAGAGATTTTACCGGCGTATTCTTTAAAATCCCCTAATTTGCTCAATTTTAGGGAGGGGCACCAAAAGGGGAGGGGGCGCCAACAGGGGGCGCTTTTTCGGCAGGGGGGCGCCAACAGGCAACGTTACGCCACTGTTTGGATGCAGATGGGTGGAAAGACATCTTGTGCTCCAAAGCATATGGGAAATTTCCTTTTCATTTTCAACTCTGCAGTGCAATAGCAAAATTTGCAAAGTGTTTGTGTGTAGAGGATGTAACCCAGAGAGTCTGAATGAGTTTGTGGCCTGTAGACTGGTACCTTTGAATAAGGGGGACGATAAGAGAGGTAATCCTGTCCTGGTGTACGGCTGGTGGGGGTAGGAGAGGTTCTTTGGCATATTGTTGGCAAGGTGGTTATTGGGTAATTAAGGATGATATACAAGAGGCTGCAGGACCTCTTCAGTAATGTGCTGGGCTAGAGTCAGGCATTGAGGCATCCATCAGAGCAGTTAAGAGGACATGGGAAGATCCTAAGACAGAGGCAGTGCTTCTTGTTGATGCAGATAATGCGTCTAACAGGCTTAATCGCAAAGCAGCTATTCACAACATCAGGCAGCTATGTCCCCCGTTTCACCAATACCTGAAAAACACCTATCAGAAATCAGTTAAGCTCATTGTCAACAACATATATTCGTGTCAGATCATTTACTCTGATGAAGGAGCAACGCAAGGTGATGTGGCAGCAATGGCGGAGTATGCTATCGGTATTCGTCTTCTTATCAACATCCTGGCCAGCGTGACAAAATTAGGAGAATTGATGCAAGCGTGGTATGCGGATGACTCAGCAGCGGCCTAGCAGGTACTCTGAAGAAACTCCGGCTGTGGTGGGATTTACTCAGTGTGAACGGTCCTAAGTTAGACTACTTCCCTAAAGCAGTGAAGACTATTCTTATCCTAAAAGAAAAATCAAGATAAAATTAAGATAAAGGGCAGAGTAGACAGCCTCAAGTTAGTTAAAGAATTACGCTTGAAGAAGGAGCTTGCTGAGATAATGAGTGAAGTGGATGAGAATACCAGGGAGTCACTGCAGCTGGTACAAGAGCATGGGTCAGGAGCTTGGCTTACATGTCTCCCCAGTCAACAGCTAGGGTATACTTACAGCAAGCAAGACTTCAGAGATGCTGTTCATCTCCGGTATGGTTGGGACATCCCTAACACCCCAATATTTTGCGATTGTGGAGCCAAAAATGATCATAATCACATCCTCAACTGTAAGAGAGGGGGTATGTGAACTACCGTCATAACAACGTGAGAGACTCAAATGCTGAATACCTTAGGCTGGTGACCAAGGATGTGAGGATTGAGCCCCTGTTGACACCTATAGAATCAGCCAACTTCCAACAAAAGGGCAACAATGCTGATAAGGCTAGGCTTGATATATCAGCAAGAGGAATGTGGAGCATATTTGAGAGGACTTTCTTGGACGTGCCCATTTTCAATCCTAAATCGTCTACATATCAAGGAAAGACCATGCCACAGCTCTACACTCTGCATGAGAATGAGAAAAAGAACCAGTACATAAACCTAGTGCTACAATTGGAGAAAGGGTCATTCGTCCCCCTTGTATTTACCATGGCACCTGAGGCCAAGCGTTTCATTAGGAGACTTGCTGTGTTGATATATATTTACTGGGCCGCGCTCAGCCTGTCATTCCGCCAAATCTTGTTAATGAACAAAATAGCCTGGGGTCCTCAGGTAGATATGTATTGAATGTATGACGAGGAAGTGAATTTTTGTCTTTGATAAATTTGGTACCAAAACAAAAAATTTGCCTTCACGTTTGAATAATAAAATTTTATCGTAAAACATGATCATTGGTTCAAAATGTATGTTGGCTTCTTTTACATTCACAATTGAGCATTGTACTTAGTGTGAAATGGACAAACAATTGCAAATTTCTTGGTTAATATTAATATTACCTAGGGACCCCAGGCTATTATATTTAGAGAAACAAATTTTTAGATAAACAAATTTGAATTTTGATCTTTATTACAGATTAAACATATCATATATAACCATAAAAGCCGCGCGTCGGCTGATTGCCTCAACTTGGATTGGTAGTAATTTCAGATTACAGAAGCTGAAGGACGGCAGCTCAAAAGCCCCAGTGAACCATCGGAAAGATCAAGGACTCGAGTGCCAATAGTGGCTTTTTCGAACCCATTTTCGCCGATTTGCTGTGGCCCAGATGAGCCGCGCCCTGCTGCTTAACGGCACATGATGGTTTTTGTTTCAATACTTATTTAAATTTAAGCGATAATTCATTTGGTGGTTTACAGTTTTTGAATCATGTTCATCATTTATTTTTCGTTCAGTTATCACGTGTTTACAATTCAGTCATACCATGCATGCATAGTCAACATTGTTGAGGCAACCAGCTTCTGCAGTTCAATAATTGGAGACCGAGAATATAAATTGATCGAAATTTACAATTCATCGTTATCAAATATAGTCAATAATATTCTTGATTCCATTTAGTACATACTAAGTTGGTTTTATTCTCTTGCAACACTACTGCACAACAAAAACTGCGCCTGTCCACCAGCAACAGCGCAGTCATAGGTGTGCAGCCAAAGCTAGGCCACACACCCATGGCCGCGCCGGTTAAACAACTTTATATTCAATCGTTATATTAGGAAATTTTAGTTAATTCTTTGATCACTCTTCAGTGCCGGTGGGCAGGCGCCCCGCATAGTTGGCTTTCCAAATTTACAGTCTCAAGAAAGCCGAAACGGTAATCGAGTCCCGGAGCAGAACACACATTTAGAAAATTGAAAAATTAAAATTAAAATTAAAATTAAAATTAAAATTAAAATTAAAATTAAAATTAAAATTAAAATTAAAATTAAAATTAAAATTAAAATTAAAATTAAAATTAAAATTAAAATTAAAATTAAAATTAAAATTAAAATAACAAATTAGAAATTAAAAATTAACAAGAATTTCGCCGCGGTTACACCACGCACGATTAATTTTCCCTGCTTAAACCGTTAATATTTGCAACGAAAAGTTAATTTTATCGATTAATAAAAATTAGATATTGGATTATTTTGTTGTTAAAAACTTGCGATATTTTCATCGTCATTTTTTTTTCATTGCGCGCGTGCAGGATTGCACGTAATCGAATATTTAGTACGCCGCGCACAAGTTTTGGGCTAATTTATTTTGAACGGCATCGTTTGACAATTGAAATTCGCGTTGGATACTGCAATTAACTAACACATGCCGAGCGTCGCGCGCAGCATAACAGACGCTTCCTATACTCATAATTATAGGGGAGTGGTCTATATTGCGAAGGAGCAGACTTTTGTCGACATCGTAGGACCGTCGGGCCACCTCATATATCCAAACCCGATTACTTATTCCCTACGATCTTTTTGCCTTCGGCAAGAGCAGGGAAAAAAATTACATGACTACGAGAGTCCAGACAGGCGACAAACACACAAACCGGACGCACAGTGGCTGAAAAAGCGCAAATTGCAAACTAAGTATTTTCGCGCGTTTTCGCGCGTTTTGACAAGATATATATTATGAGCACTCTTTAAATGCTTTTCATAAATTCCAGAACAATCCTTTTAGTATGATTTTTAATACAACATACAATTTATGGTCTAAATATCATTATCTAGCAATTTTGAAATTTCTAGCTTAACTGTAAATAGAGTTAAGTGCATTTTAAAACAAGTAAAAGTCTTCCATTTTGTTTTGATCATAACATTTTAACTAAGTAAAAGTATTTGGGCATATTTACACGAAATGATCAGAAATTGTCTAAATAACAATACAGTCAAAGTTTTAATGATCGGCAGTAAAATATTCGTAACCAAAACGTTAATCAAAGTTATACGAATTATACTTATTTGTTTACAATATTGACTTTAAATTGAACAAAATGCGCGGAACGCGCGCGATCTTATATCATATATGCGTAGGTGAAGAAAGAGACTAGCCATCTTTACAACAAAGGAAAGGATTTAATAACCTCTACTAGCCTTAGAGCATAACCATGCTCTTTCCACAATGCACAAGTATGAGCAAATAACTCCTTTCGCAGGAAACTAACGCCCTCACAGGCTCCCACGTTTCATGTAACCGACCCCAGGTTTTGGTTTTAGATCGGACACTCAAAACAAAGATAGAAGAGCGGTCTACACGCTTACAGGCTACCACGTCTCTTGGAAACCCAGGATTTAGTTTTGGATCGGACAATCAAAATACCGATATAGATAAACATAAAACAATAGAGGAGCGGTCTACACCCTCACAGGCTACCACTGACCACGTTTAGTATAAGCCAGGATTTAGTTCTGGATCGGAAACTGGAAGCAAGGATATAGGAGCGGTCTACAGTGACGTTACAGGTTTAAAGGTATAGTAGTTGAAATCACTTTTACTTTTAGCAATATTAATGGACTGCAGTTCAAAAATATGGAAATATTCAGGAGCAGGACATGGACACTGTGTGGTTTGAGATATAAACCCATAGGTGAGGGCCAGAGACAAGTTTCCGCTTAGACATGACAGTACCTAGACAACTGTGTATCAACTGTTTGAAGATCCCGTTAACCAGATTTATAAGTAACACCTACCAGGAACACTACATACGACTACGAGTTGCACGTAGCAGGCCATGACCTTCCCTGAGAGTTCCTGTCTCTCCGTCTTTAACCCGACGGAATTGCACCAGGGGTGGTGGTAACAGAGCTTCAAGACTCTCGGAGTCTGTAGCTGATATCTATGTTTTAAGATATCAGCTACATACTCCGAGAAAGAAGACTCCTAACTAAAGCATGCAATGAAATATCAGATTCTTAGAATATCATATCAAGTGGTCGAGACAGTTTTAAAAATCTTAAAATTTGAGTGTTGAGTGATTTAGTACGCACAGTCGCACATTTTTACTTTCAGTCTTCTTCATATCGCTGACCTCGTTAATTTCTTCTCTTTAGTACGTCCCTATAAAATAATACAATTATAATCTTTAACTTCATTTCCAGGGTTAAACTACCACTGGTAAGCAATTCGGAAAATCATGGGACGGCATAATGCCGGGGCGGGTATGAACCGCCAACCTCCGGGTTACATGCCTAGTGCTTTAATTGAGCTACCGGCCCTATTCAGCTCAGGAATTTCTTGCAAGCGAATCAGTAAGCAATCTTGTTGTTATTTCATATCTGCTGCTATTAGTACACGTACTGCATTATATGCAGCAGGGATAGCCACTGCCACTAATGATCATGGCTCTAGCTAAATGTTTTACTCCATCGGGGCAGCCGAGGCACGTGCAATGTTTGTTTAAAGCTCTCGAGCTAAATTGATAAATAGATTAGACAACCTCGGAAGAGACGCCGGCAGTGTTAGATCAAAGAACCTTAAAATCAGGTTATTCATGAATTTTCGGGAGGTCTTTTAGAAGAATGTCAAAATTCAAGTGTAGAGTGATTTAATCACCACGCTCAGCTATCTAACGTACGGAACGTTCACTAAAAATAGTTTGTGAACGCGTTCGCTAAAAAACGTTCGGAACATAAGGAAAGTTAATTGCTATTATGAAATTAAAATGCAGGACATAGCCCAATTATCCGGCAAAGTACTAGCGTTTCCATTGCCAGGCCTTCAGGGCCTTGAGGTATGTTACAAATACAAATGTTGTTTGATCTTGAGCTGAATGGTTGTTATACTATAATATCGTATATATAAGAACGATGTACATTTTACACATCGATCCCTAATGAAGTTTTGTGGAAGATCAAATTCCAGAGAAAGAAACGTATCCTTGAGCAACTTTAAGTTTAACAATTTTACCTTTGACTTCTTAAGTTTCAGCCTTCAGGGTAATCATACCCCAAATCTTTTGGGAAGTACCATGAACAGACCGTTAAATCGACCGCAAGATACGAGAACAGTATATTTGCTGTGGTAACCATAGTTGGTCAGTTTGGTCATTGTTTATTTACTGTCTAATTCCAACAACATGGTTTTATCTCATTGTATCCATCTTAAGTTAAAAACTATCGGAAAATTATCAAAATATTGACTAACGTATACTAACGTTCACAAACGTTCACTACAAAATGATTGGAACGTACGTTCAGTACGACTAAGTTCAGCGTTCACTACAACTAAGGTTAAAAGTGCGTTTAAGTACATTTACCGTTGAATTCACCGTTTTACGAGAGTAATACGTTTTATCAAGAGTAATACAGAGAAAGAGTCCCGACAGTCTCCCTGATTGCCTCTAAATATATTCACGTGACACATATGCCGGTCTTAAACTAACATCATCCAATTAATGGAGTATAACTAAGCCTGTCAGTCTGTAGAGTAAACAAAAGGGGTGACAAAGAAGCCTAATTAAGGAAAGTGAGGTGGAAACAGCTTGCTAACCGTGTGTAATGAGGTTAATAACAAAAGGCCAATAACCACATAGGAAGATGAACTAGTAGTCTAAAATGATGTGTACACTGGTGACAGGAGCGTACAATTACACATGTCTGATATCACAAAAATATCTGAAACCAAGCTTCCTGAATTTCTGCTCAATTGGCCGATACGAATGGCCCAAATATGGGAGGAGATCTAGAGGGTGCAAGAAACAACTGGAAAAAATGATGAACCTTTTTTAGGAAACACGGATATAGTTCTAGAAGGGCCGATCGAACTAGACCAACTTGAATTGACGCATTTTTGAACACTGATTCATATCTTGAAGTAATTGTAAAACAGATACGGTAATAATTAACATGTCAGGTCATATTATTCTGAAATAATTGTAAAATGCCTACCTGCCTAGGTCGATGAAGTCTGGAACGAGTTTCCAGTTTCGTGACAGCGCTTCTCTCCATTTATCTCTATCACTCATGAGCCAACGAACCTTATCAGATTGCAATCCAGTATCTTCTGATCTTGTAGGATGTCCGGAAAGGTCTTATGAGGTCGTCCTATATACCGATGGCCATATGATGGTTGTTAGAAAAGGAGTTGCTGAGCAGATTGGTACTGACGGTAGAAATGTCCTGTAAAATAGATACAGTAATATAAAATATCGGGTCATATCCTAAAATAGAGTAACTGTAAAATAGATACGTGTACGGTAATACTAATAACGTTGAGCCATAATATTTTGAACGATGAATTTATCTAAACAAAAGCATTCTTAATAGAAACTTGAACATTTTTACTCACAAACGATCCATTGGTTAATCATGCTCCTGTCTCGAAAAGAGTATTTAGCTCAATATGAGGGCGTGTATCTTTATTAGAATTCACAGAATCCATTTTCTAAAACCGGAGAAGTATAGTATAATAAAGCAATTTAAAATTTGCACGATCAACAAAACATGACAATAATATGCTCATGTCATCAACTTCATGAACAATAAAAAGCATATAACAAATATGTCAATACACAATGAATAACAAATTTTTAAAAAAGCTGTGAACAGAAGGTAAAAAACTGCGAACAAAAGGTAGCGTACGATCGCGTTTTGAAACAGTGCACAAAGAAATGATCCTAGATTGAGCTCTAGAAATCTAATTTTTGAGTGGAGTACTTGTGGAAGAGGTAATGCAAATTAATGCTGCCTGGTATGTGGAAGAGGCTGACTGAAAAGCTTGCAGAGTATATTGGCTCTAGCTTGTAGCTGTTTCATCAAAAATTGTGTTGACTGTGCGCGGCTCGACCGCGCATTTTTACAATATTTGTGCAAATGGCAAAATCATGCGTTGTTAACGATAAATCGACGTAAGGTCTACTTAGTTCGACTGACGGCGGGGCGCCAAATTTGTGCGCTAGTTGCAGCGCAGCCACTGTGGGACGAAGAGAGGGCCCACTGCTGAATTCGACATATAATGAATTGTTTAAAACATAATGATTCCTACACTAATATGATCTTGAGGCATGCCCTGCATGTACTGTGCGAGTACATTGTAAATAATATCTGATAAGATGGGCCAAAAATAGCGGCACAGCGCGCAAAATGCGCGGCGTGACCGCCGAAATTTTATATTTTAGACATTAACATTTCAATCGGCTTTAGCGCTCAGCATATCTTAATTTAGTAGACATTAGAATTTCAGTTCGTTGGAATCGAAGTTCAGTTCACACCAATCTATTTCGTCGTACCTGGACTGCATGCCGAGTAACTCCTTTTTTATTGTGGATTTTACAAGGTTCGTTGATATATGTAGAGAAGTTGATATTGCTAGCAGTGTTTCTACAATCGTTCCACATTTTTGTCGATTGATATATGAAGGAGGTGGATGGGGTTGGAGTGATGAATCGATCAGCACGTCTTGATGATCTGTGAAATAGATTTAGGAGTGGGACTGGGGATTCTAATTTATTGATTTTGAACATTTCCAATAAACATGTGTGTTTGAACAAACTGTGTATGGTTAGTAAACCATTTTTCTTAAATAGCGGTTTTGTGTGCTGTTTTTCATAGAAGTCGCTTCCTAATTTTTGCTTGTCTTTACTTCGTGTTCTAGCACAAGTTCTAAACTTTTCTAAGTTACCAAATCTCGGTTACCAAATAGTATTCTAACACATTTCCTCTGAGTGATAAATATTGGTTCAAGCCTGTTGTTACTAAGGCCACCCCATACTGATATCCCAAATCGCAAGTGTGATTCAAATAGTGTGTAGTACAGTTCTTTGTAGAGTTTTTCTGGAATAATGTGCCGTATTCTACAAATTTTCCCACTTTCACATTTCAGCTTTGTGTTGAGCGACCGTATATGAGCATCCCATTTAAGCTGATCATCAATAATAACACCAAGAAACTTCACCTTTTTGACTTGCTTTATTACTACATTGTTTAGAGTAAGTACGTGTTCTTCTTCATTATGTTCTACCTTGCTTTTTCTATTCGTTGGTTTAAAGTGAATGTAACAGCATTTCTTAATGTTAATATGCAGGAGATTACATTTCATATACTGATACAGTTGTACCAGTTTGAGAATTTGGTTTGCTCGTTCATATAACTTTATCTTACATTCATCCGCGACAAATATATTTGTATCGTCAGCAAATAGAATGAACTTGCCTAGTTCAGTTGCCCTATATAGGTCGTTGATATAAATAATAAATAGTAACGGACCAAGACAAGATCCCTGGGGTACTCCAAAGAGAACTGGAAGCTTGTCAGACTCTTCTCCTAGGACCGAGACGTATTGATATCTATTAGAGAGATAACTAGCAATGAGTTTGTTGGCATTGCCTCGAATTCTGTAATTATCTAGCTTACTCAGTAATTTGTCAGCTGAGATGGTATCGAATGTTTTGCTTAGATCAATGAATATTCCGAGCACGTGCTGCTTTTTATTAAGGCATGATTCTATATAATTCACTGAGAAATTCAGGGCATGACTTGTAGAGTGATTTTTACGGAATCCATACTGATTTTCATAGATCATATTTTGTGACTGGAAAAAGCTGTATAGCCTACTATATATAATTTTCTCGAATAACTTACCAAATACGGCTAAGGTAGAGACTGGTCTATAGTTTTCAAGTAATTCTTCATTTTCTTTCTTGTATATGGGACTGATCCTGCCAATCTTTAAATCGTCCGGGAATATTCCCTCCTTCAAACATTCATTGTATAGTACAGATAATAGGGGGGCGATAATTCTGGATGACGCTTTTACAACATGTATTGGGATATCAGACGATTTGCCATTTTTCAATTCTGATATTATTTTACATACTTCATCGATTGTACAATCATGCATGTAAATACTGGTCGTGTTGGATTTTGGTAGGTAGTCATAGATACTGGGGATGCCATTAATTACTAGTTCGCCGATTTCATTGTATGCCTCGTTAAGATTAGAAGCTAGGGAGACAAAGTACTTATTAAACTCATTAGCTATTACCCTACGATTAGTAATTTTTTCATTATTGATAGTAAATAGAGGTTTGGTTTGTCGTTTTCGTTTACCCCGTATTTGGTTAATTAATTCCCACGTCTTTTTACTGTTTCCGTGCAACTCTGCAAATTTTCCACCATAGAACTTAGATTGAGCATTGCGGCGATCTTTTTTGACCTTCCGCCTGCAGTCACTGTATTTTTTATACTTGTCACGTTTTGAGCAACATATTGGGCATTGGCATGTCCCCCCTTTATTTTCAATTTCCCCAAATTTACATTTAACTTTTCTGACCTTTACCCATTTATCGTAAAGTTCGTGCTGATATTAAATTTTGCCCACAAGGTCTGGTGTAATCCATGGGTTGTTCAGTGCTGTTCTTTTAGAGCATTTAGGGGTTTCTAACTTACAAGTTCTATCTATACAGTCCTTAAATATGTCGTGAAATGTTGTAAAATTGTCGATAACATTATTATTGAGATCATGTTCCAGAGTCTGTAAAAAAGCTTTTACATTCGGTTTGTTGTAATCATAATACTGTTTGTATTTCAGGTCAATTCTGCTAGAGTCCAAGTTTCTATTAAAGATTTGGAAGATGGGTGAGTGGTGTGATATACGGTCAGTCAGTATTCCAGAAGCTACTATACTCTCTACGTCGTTATTTATTATGTTATCAATACAGGATGCTTTGCAGCCTGGTTTCTCATGTGTTGCTAACGAAATTAGGGGGAAAAATCCTTTACTTAATAGTATTTCTTCATAGCGTTGTACGATTGTGCTATTCTTATCGTGTAAATCAATGTTAAAATCACCCGCTAGGTAACTACACTTGGGGAGGCTGTCAAGGATGTCAGAGAGTTCAGATAGTGCAACATTGACATTACCACTTGGAGGACGGTACATTACACCAACTGTTACTGGGGAAGTTGTACTACTTACGGCCACAAAAAGAGTTTCTAAATGTTCAGTGATATGGGATACATTGCCGTTTACTCTGGCACTAAGAGTGTCACAAACATAGAGAGCTACTCCAGTGCCCTTTTTTTTATCTGGTATTGTGTTTTGGTAGAAACTGTTGTATCCAGTTAATTGATACAAACTGCTGGATTCAGGACCTTCATTTGTTTCCGCTAAGGCTATGATCGAGAATTTCTTGGTGAGCCTATGGGATTCAATAGCGAAAGTGTCGAAATTTGACTTATTGCCGTCGATGTTTTGGAAGAGAAGCGATGAAAATTCATTCATTTGATTATCTAGTGCTTTGTTGAATTCCTTGACATTGTACGATACGCAGTTATTTAGTATTTGATCTACTTTTATGATAGTGTCATCCACTTCACTACTTTCAATATCACTTAAATTAGTGCATGCAAGTCGAAATGGATTGTAACGAATAACTGCTAAATGTACGCACTTGGGACAGTAAAAATCGTCAAATAATGTGTCATTGTTAATGGATTTGGTATAGCACTTATGGTGCATTGGGCAGTCGCATTCACAGCATTCAACAATGAATTGTCCTACGTTAATGAACTTCGCACAGACTAGGCATACCTCTTTACTCAGGGGAGTCAGAATGGCTGGTAACCATCCTGGTGTCGATATAAATCATTTGACCATTGTCATATAAATCATTTGACCATTGTTAATGATCTGGCCCGGCGCGCGCTACTTTGTAGCTCGGGCCATTAAATAACATTTCGAGAAGAAAGCGGCGCGCGCTACTTCGAAGAAATTTAGACGAGTAACATCCGTCAAATAAATCATATGAATAGAGTTTCGACGGAATGATGCAGACTGAGCACCGCCTTAACGGGTGATACTCGTAAAATATTTGTTTCAAATATTTAGGATCACTGTCGACGAGTCCAAGATCTGAACTCGGCGCGCGCGTCTTGGTAGGTTATAAACCTACAAGTGGTTGCGAAAAACATTATATTTAATGCAAGGCGCGGCCCATTATAGTGCATCGTGTGTGAAATATATAAATGCTTCTGATCGCGATCGGCGACCACCTTCGTTAGCTATCTAATCGGTGCATCGGAGTCGTTTACATATTATACTTGTATCATGTCGTGACTAGGTAGTGCGCCATCGACAGTGAGCCGCGCGTGCCGACTGTAGGATGGTTTTTTAGCGCTAATTTCGGCCAGCACAATTTTCTTCAAACAAATAAATATTAATTATCCTTCCCGACCTCCGATTGCAACAAAAATTGGTAAGCTTACTCATAGACTTACAAAGAAAGTGTCCGAAAAGTTTAAAGCATATCCAACCATCAGACATTATGTTACAGCTAAAAGCAGCGTATTTTGCTCCATTTTGATCACTATATCAACTCCGATATCCACCAAATTTTTCGGACAGTTGTGAAAGCCCTATTGGAAGGTCTTCGCCAATTTTCAGAATGATCTCATTCAAGGAACTGAAGATATATCCAAATAATACAACAAAAATCAACGAATTTGGTCAAATTTGGTCAAATTACGCGAGTTTTACAGTTAATTTTGCTCCAAAAGCCGCGCACCATCAAATATGGCACCTGCCTAGGCGAAACTCACTGATCTTTCCAAAAAAGGTATGACAAATTTAGTATTGTGAAAATTCTCACAGTCTCTAGAAAACAATGGCACAAAAAATTTTAAAATCCGAGCAAGTTTATTTTTATGGTGCACCCCCTATCGTGACTTGTATCATTGCTCTAACCAGAGCCCTTTCGCTTGCAGTAGCGCGCGACCGCCGAATATATTCAATTCTTGTGAAACAAGCGCGTCAAGCAGTACGCGTATACACATGGCTATGTGAACTTGTATCACGTCGTGACCCCCACTGTCGCTTCACTATAGTAGTTTCAACGATACAGGGGGAGCCGCGCACGAGTGCGCGGCGGATCATGCAACGTGCGACAAGTCTTGATTAACATTAACGATGTCAAGTGTCAACCCTTCCAGATCGTTGCTCTGCAAAGCAGTCGAAGCCCTCCAAGACAAGTCCTGACCCCCACGGTCGTTTCACTAGGTTCTTACGCGATACAGGGGGAGCCGCGCACATGACTTATGACAACATATAATTACGTAATCGTTTTGGAACATTTTTACTCCTTCCCCTCCGTAATCAGTTTTACACATGAGCTGTTGTATCAAAATTACACTAGCGTAATCATTTCGAAACCCCTCTCCCCGCCTTTGCTGATTACGTAATATGTGAACGACCCCGTTGTTTATATACCTGGGGACCCCAGGCTATAATATTTATGTTCATAATCATAATAGAGATTAGGCGCAATGACAGGCTGAGCGCCGCCCAGTAACCCCGATGCACTAGGCAGCGAGGGCATGCCTAGTATATAGGCAGAAGGATTGGCATCGTCAATCAATATGCAGCTCGTAGCGGCCTAGTAGTGCTACAAGTACAATGTACAATCTAGTACGTTGTACGTAAATTTCAACCATGTCATTGGTCATGATCATAGGTACTGATTTGCATATTGCATATGATTCATATTAATGAATAAACAATACACCTAGTTTGTCATTTGTGGTCAATATGATTTCTGAAATTTGGTCAGCTCGTTCTTGATACATGTTTCGTATCCCTTCGGCGCGCGCGAAAAGTGGCATGCAACGTATGTCAAGCTCGTTCATATTCATTTAAGAGTCGAAACAAAATAAAAGCAGGCCTTCAGATTATTAATCAACCTCTAATTATTTCATAATCAGATACAAATTGAAACTGTAACACCCCTAAAATCGCTAAAATACCGATAATTACCCACAAATTCATGATTTTGTCTTTAATGTAAGAGCTAGGTATTGCTTTTAGGAGTTTCATAAATTTATCTACAACTACAAGTCTTCTGTCGGACTAAAACTAATGGTAATATTTAAAACGGACAACTTTAAGGAGAGATAATCTTTAAAAAATAAGGTAAGCTGCATATTTTAAGAAAAATATACGAATGCGCTCTTTTAAAACATGTTTCTTAATGCAAATTAACTATATTTTAAATTTAAGAGGGTTTGATGACAGAAGATTTTTAGTCTCTCAACATTTGGGGTCCTATCCCAGGTATACGCATGTTCTAATGTCCATTACCCCTCAACAGATGACAACGAATCATTTCTTCTACGTTCACATATAAAATTTCATTAACTAAACCCCAAATCGATAATAATTTATACTTATAACATATCGGTCTTAAATTTATCACGGATAGCCGACACTGCCGAGACAATGGGCACAGTGATACCCACAATATTAACAATCATCATCACCTGGTCGCCATCGCTCACGAAATCTCCATAGGAGACTCTGTGGTATTGTGATGACTACGAACTATTTTCACCTATTTTTTGCACAGATCACCGAATAAACTAGGGTTACCTTCTATCATTTTGTACTCGGAGAAGAAATCACAAACTTAACTCCAATTTATTCGGATATCGTGCGAACTAATAAACTATAGTGCATGCTGCAATTCACATTTCAAAAGTCATCATCATCAGATTTCTCTCCTCTTCGATCTTGATATCATACTTTAAAGTTTCTTCAAGCCTACCAAAAAATGTGCAAAAACTGTAAATCGCAGCTTTGAGCTTATAAACCGCTATAAAATCTATTTCACAAACTATTAAATTTGCTTCAATTGGAACATATACTGAAATGAACTTCATTGCAGGAGCCATAAATAGTATTAGAATTATTGTCTGAGAGAACTGTTATGTGATTTTTCAAGGATTTGTGGCCCAGACAGAACATCAATCATGATTGAACATCAAGCAACATGGTAAAAAACATATTTTAACAGAATGTTTGTTCCATTTCCTAAAAGAATTCGATCGACCACAATCGATAACTGTTGATAGATTCCCAAATAACAACAAATCGATACTTTTCGACTTAGTTCATGTTTGTGTTAACCATGTTAACAATGTCAGTGTTAACCCATGTTAACCTTCATCAAGAGGAAAAGTAGACCTACAGCTAGCTGTTTGTTTGCATGAGAGTTATGTTCACCTAATCTTTAAAAATAACGTCGCATCTATAGTTCCGGGGATATTGAGCTAAATTTCGTGAAGTCTACCTTTACTCAGTTAAATATGAAAATCTAACTTTAAGCTAAAATCAGATATGCTAAAGTCCTATTAAATTTCATGCTTCAATGTACGTAGCAGACTTTACGCAACGGACCTGCTTGATCATTGACTGGAGCTATGAGTTCGGGGGTAGAAGGAGTACAATCAAGAGTAAAAGATGAGACTTTTTCTTGGTGCAGCCACCCTCTCAAATATCAAAAAGGAGGGTTTAAAAGAAAGCTAATCAAAGTTTAGAAAGACAAGAAAGTGAAGGCTGAAAAAACACAGCGGATATTTATATGAATGCTTGGTTGTACTCCGGCTTCCCTAAAATGAAGTTAAAGCATATATAACAATCAAATCTGTAACATCATTATTTCATAGAGCAACATTTTACTTAGTTTAACAATAACATAAACCTACAAGAATAATGAATATAATTGCGGTATTTTTGTAAGGGGAACTCGTGCTTAACAAATGAATTCCCGAGTTGCTGCTGCTCGACAAAATATAAAATTAACAGTACTCGACAAGTCACTCTGCTACTGACAGCTAGAAGGACACACTTTTTGTAAAAACACGGTAAAAACTCACGGAAAAAGATAAAAATACACAGAATCTTAATTAAAGGTTCAACTTACAAACTAACCAAGCACACAGCTAAAATTACCAACACGTTAAGTCACAGAGAGATCACGGCAATTTCGCGTATCTACTCTTTGGGAGGAATTTTAGGAAAGTTCTTAGTTACGACGTCAGTACCGCGCGTAACAGTCAAATAACGTGACGTCACACTAGCAGAGGCCTGTGACGTCACAATCCCGGGCGTGACATCACACCACCACCACCACGAACAGTCGCTTATCATCAGTTCCCTTAAACAAGCCCCAGCAGAAACCACGATAATAACTTAGGTATAAAATTGGAGGCAGGGGAAACCTGCGTGGCAACGTGGGTTACCATTGGTTACGGTAACCGTTAGCAGCGATAGGATGCGAGGTCGTCGTCTCTTCTAACTCCATGTGCCTGCAACCAAGGTTGGGTTAAAACATTATTTTCTAAAGATTTAACTGCTTTTTTAAGAGAAAAGTTTATAATTTTATAACTCTATAATAAGAGCGCACCACGGTCCACATACTCACATGTCATTGAAGCTGAAGTGGCTGCCCCTACGGGGGGACAGGGTGTTGCGAAAGTTGCTGTTGTTAGAGTCCATGTTCTCGTTGAGGATGGAGGGAGCCACGTAGGTGAAGCCTCGAAGTGGTTAGATAGACTGGTGCTGAGCATGCTAGTGTCCACGGGACTGTCTACTGGAGTCATCCCCGTAAACTTTGTGTCAAACTGGGAAACATCAGTCTCGTCTCTCTGGGAGGTTTATAAGTTGTAAACATGTAGACTTGTTCCTGACATTATGTTGTGATGTATTTGGTGGGTTATGTAGAGCGATGATGTGTGCAAGATTTTAAGCTGGATGATGGGGGTGATCAAAACTTTCAAAACAAGTTCCTTCAGCTTCATCGAGTATCCTGATTACAGCATATACAGCAATAGATAAAAGCCTGTACAACTATAGTCTGGATCAGTGATTTTTCCAAACGGCAAACGAAAAAAAGAAGTTCATTAATTTACGAATAAATGGAATTATGAAAAACATACGAGAGTTGGTTCGAAAGGAGGTCTGACAGATTTTTTCAGAGTAGCATCCCAGTTGACATGCTCAAAGAACTTGTGGCGCTGAAAAGATCTCTCGTGAGAGGGAATTAATCATTAAACTATCATTTTAAATTGCAAATGTTTCTACTTTCAAAATCCACTTAAGCTAAGGTATTCAAATGTTTTCATAAAATTCATACCTTAATCTCCTCAGAATCCTCTGGTCCGTACCCTAGACGGGTGTCTTCCTTCCGCTTTAACAACTGATAAATACGTCATTAAATCTTCAAATCAAACTTAAACTCATTATCATCAATAAATTAACCTTAACCCTTAACATATCATGCAAGTTTGCACGGTGCTGCCACTTTACAGCCCATGCTTATAATGAGAGACATGTGGTGCTGTAGGGGGGGGGGAGGGAAGTGGGGGGGGGGGGGGGGGGGGGGTACTGTACTATGAATATAATATGGGGGTCAAGAGTGACTGTGCAACCGGTATATAATTTAAGTTGGTATGGAGTTTCTTACTCAGCACAGCGAAATACGCACCCAAATATTTGCGTTTAAGAACAGCGGTTTGTGTGGATTCAATAAAAAAGGTGCCAGGCCAGAATTAACTGCACGAAATAATCGAGACATAATATGGTACACGTAGTAGTACCGGTCAGTTGTTTTACTATATTATGTCGACATGCAATTAATTTTGGCCCAGCCTACATATAAAGATCGAATATATCACATATATGTGATGAAATGCTATTTAATGGTGGTATGAGTGAGTTTAAACAGTGAGAACTGGAATATTTTAGTTTTATGCACTTGTCTCAACAACAAATGAAAGTAACGGTGGGTCACAAATGGTGATTGACGGGAAATCATTCCCGCACAGAGTATGGAATTTAACAAAAAATAGGGAAGGTAATAGAATGGTAGGATCACATGCCCCAAGTCACACATAGAGAAAAGAGTATGTACAATGATAGAAAGAAAAAGAACATAATATATAAATCCCAAGTAATCTATAAAATGCTGCTCTATAATACAAATCACTGCTTTTAAGCTGCAATGTGGCAAAGGAATTCCAAATGATCGGATTCGATTGTAGCAAAGCAATAGCAACATCATCTCATTTACCCAAAACTATCGACAATATTATCTTGTATACCTACATTTTTAATCAAAGATACTGCTTTAGCAGTGAAATGCGTGGGGTAAAATACTCTAGCATTTCTTATCTGCGAAATATGATTTTTATGATATCTGTGAGAATGAAAATGCTAATTTTAACAAAACTTAAAAGGAGTCCTCTTACTCGAGTCAGTAGATCAATCGCTTCCGGTCTGAAGTATCTCGGAAATATCAGCTTCGATTTCAATATCTGATTTAAAAATTTGAGTAAATTTATCAGACTCGTGGTAGCTAATGTTTGTCAGTCTGTCTTTGTCCGTGTCGGTCAGTCCAAGCTGACCCTTACACCTTTCAGTTCAAGGTAAATTTAAGAAAACATGCGAGCCCTCAATTAGTCGGTTTATCAATGTGTCTGTTCCGAGATCAATACTTCTTCAAATTTTGATGAATTCACAAATATTGTAATTAGATTGAAAATATTAAACTGTTACTGTCACTCGGTTGCATAGATACTGACTTTTTCGATAGTTCTTTTCCTGTTGTCCGCCACAAAGGGAGGCTGAAAAGAGAGTGTACGGTTAATCTCAGATGTAATCTTATCATAACCAGAAAATCAGCGGTACTCAAATCAAAGCTACAGCCGAATTTGTTGGAAACAAATCAAGTTAGGGAAAAGCCTGTAATATTTACTTACAGCTCCAGTCATCATGTCGTACATGAGAGTTCCCAAACTCCACCAGTCAACCGCTTTACCGTGTCCTTTCCTCGTTAAGATCTCAGGGGCCCTAATAATTTAAGAGTGAGATTTGCCTTATGAGGAATCTTTCATTTAAAATGCTGTAAATCAAGCGTGTATCTTCAGCTTGACCTACTTATGCATTTTAAATACTCGCTAATTAATTCGTGCTATGTTGTAAGATAATAGTTTTTAATTTCATCTCATTTCATACTTACTTACATAAAGGAAGTAAGTATGAATTTGAAGAAAGAAAAAAAGATTAAAGCGTATACCACGTATACACAATACATATCGTGAACATTGAAAAAGAATGCTAAAATATTTCGTAAAAATTCCTTACATATATTCGATAGTTCCGCAGAAAGTATGTGTCCGGTTGTTATCGAGAATCGCTTCCTTGCACAGCCCAAAGTCAGTCAACTTTATGTGACCTGTCAGACAACTGTTGGTCAGTGCTAGCGAAACTTTTGATATAATAATCATGTCTGAATTGCTGCCGAACCTTAAGTCAGACAAAATCAAATCAAATTGATGCAAGAATTTCTGCTAACCTCGAGCATCAAGAAGCACATTTTCTGGTTTCAGATCACGATAAATGACTCCGTGCTTGTGCAAATGTTCCAGAGCTAGAATAATCTCAGAAGCATAAAAACTGAAAAAAATGTCACCTTATTTTCTGCAAATTTACTACAATGCAGTGTGACTTTTATTATAACAATGCTACCTTTGGCGGAAGAAATCTATTTTATTAAATAAATTCGACCAAATTAATTTAAATTTGAGCAGGATCAAAAATATTAAAATGGTAACTAACCACGCACTCTTCTCCACCAATATACCTTCCTTGTCAAGCTGAGAGAAAAGCTCGCCACCTGAAGAATCGCATTATTTAGAATATGTGCCTGACATCTCAGTACTTCAATCGAGAAATTATGTAATTGGTAATAATATTCCACATATTGAATCCTGGCGAGAATTCAACCGTTTACTAACCTGGCAAGTATTCAAGAATGAGATAGAGTTTTGCATTGCTCTGGAATGCGTAATGAAGGGACACTATGAAGGGATGTGCCACAAATTCCAGGATGTTGCGCTCTGATTTGGTATGTTGGGTATCTTTGGTGTTTCTCACAATTGTAGCCTGTCAAAGATTGGTAGTTGCACTCGAGATGTCAATTTGTAGTTTGTGTTACTTGACAACGGCTGTTAAATAAAATCACGCGTCGCTGATTACGCGCGGGAACGCGGATTTAGAGTAGTGAGCGGTTGAGAAGTTCGATCAAAAATATGTCGCGGCGCGTTACGTAAAGTCGGACTTTAACGTTGCCCGCTCAAATGTATACCGCATGCGGAACTGCTCCAGAGGTGACACCCATAAATCACTCCAAGTGCACTATATGCCATGTGTAAACGGTTTAAAACGAAGGAAATTTTAGGTTGAAAATTATAACATCATAATGCCACAGTAGCTCGAAATTAATGAAGATTCCGCATTGAACTGCAGACAATGGTACAGAAACAAAAGGAGCGCCATTAAATTTGCACAAACGACTTAGCTATGGATCTAAACTTTTAAAACTTTAAAACAGCCATTTAAGCACAAATAAATTTGATTTGACGGAAACAGATATCTCGACAAACCTTTTTCAGAACTTTCATCGCGTAGAGCTCGTTCAGATCTTCACCAACCAACTTTCGTACCATGAAAACCTAAAACAGAGTCAAGGCTTAAATGTTGGCATCAGGCGAGGGTGACCTAATGGTAGAAATACCGAGGTATAACATGTGATAAGAACCGTAATCGCGTACCGAGTTTGATACATGATACAGTCAGCAGCACTGAAAATTGCCCGAAGTCGCCAGAGATTTTAAAAATTATCTGTTAATACTGTTTCCAGTGGACAAGTTATTTCAGGGAATCGACCAAAATTCGGGCTTAATACATCAAGGATGATTTATTTATTATGTTGTTGAGTTTAATAAATATTGACTCTTATGCAGGATTAGATCACCGACCACACGTCAACTTTATTCATGGATTTCCATTTAAAAAGTGCTGTCTTTTGTACAACAATTAACATACAAGAAATAATATATATATATATATAAGGATGCATTTATATAACAAAAATGGGCGAGGCTTGAGACAAATAATTTAGTATTTCAATTTACTGAGATGATCTAATCTTTAGCAACCACGTACCACTATAGCTGCTGGCTGCTCTCGGATGTTAAAATTGCACAATATTCTAAATTTACCGCTCTGTGCCGCATGTATCATTTCAACGAAAATCTCAAAATCTGTTGAGTGATGATGAAAGTAATCTGGTTTTCAGTGATAATTATATTTTTTCCTCCATTAATTAATCAAACTCTCGAATTATTTTATACAATGCTGCTCGATTTATCTTTGGCCTTTACGGAAAAAAGATACGTGAACCTACCTCAAAAAGCTCCACTTTCTACCTGTTCGATTCAGAATCAAGTTCAAAATATCACTTCTGGTATTCAAGTGTCTTAACAACATAGCCCCTCAGTACTTACAAGGACACATCAATCTAAGAGAAGTACGAAGACGAAGTTCCAGGCTAGATGATGACTTTTATTTGTTGAAAGTTCCTCCTGCTCCTCATTTCAGACGAGCAGATGCTGCATTTATGTTTTGTGGACAAAAAATTTGGAATGAATTACCCTAAACAGTGAGATCATTATCATCTGTAGAATGTTTTTAAAATTCCCTAAAGACGTTTTATTTCCACCTAGCTTTTGATAATATTCCTAATATTTGTCCATAATGTCTGAGCTGATATGAAAGTGAATAATTTTGGTAACTTCATAAAATATTAGTCCATAAAATATGAACTGATAAAGAAGTGCATAATCTTGATATTTCCACACTAAGTCTCGCTTGAATGACTTAAATTTACATCTTAATTGGGTATATTTTAATGTCAAAGCGTGTAGTAATAAATGTTAGAATTTATTTATTTATTTACATATATCTACATGAGTACAAAACTGAATAAGGTTGGAAAATTTTCTCTTTCATCAGAAGCATGGCAGCAGAATTTCAATTTTCACTTTTAAGAATTTCCCACAAAAGTAACATTCCCTGAAACCCTGCACCGTAAATTCCTCTTCAGGGTCACGTGATTTAACCTTGTAAGCCTTCCCCTGATAATGGCGCTGAAATTTGATAGATAATTAGGATGCAGGTACAAGTCCGACCTTGAGTTAGATTATGTAGCTGGCACCAGCCCAGGACGTGATGGCCTAGTAGTATAGCATTTACATGCAAACGGTATGATCATCAAATTACAAGAGGAATGCGTTAGGTCATCTCCTTCGCACAACGGTGTGTGTACGACTAAATCTAGTTACATCTCTGTAAAATCCACATTCTTCTGTCGGCATGTGTGCATTTTTTATGTGTATATATGAAATATGCGTGCATGTATCATGTATGTGTTATTCATGGCCGTTTGCGTATGACTTTATATAGCTACGTTACTCAAGAACCACGAACCGAACTATACTCTGAACGAATATCCAAGAGTCACGCACGATCCGATTTGACAAGCATTTCCAGACAAGACATTAAGACATTGGACATGCATTTATACGACTACTAGCCAAGAAAGCAACCAGGCGTGGTTTGCTGGGTGTGGCGCGCATTTAGCCGCCGTCACACATCAGACTACATCTCAAAATGCGTGATTCTCAGCATCAAGTTGACTCATTTAATTTCTATTACCATATTTATATATATCTACCCTTGCTTTGAGAGAAACATGGTTAGTGACGCAGGTAGGCCCAGGATTTTAGAGCAAGCTGTTCAAGTAAGGTGGGTAACATGGGTAGGTGGACAGAATGTTAAATATTTGAACTGATAGCCGTCTAAGATGGACTATATAAGCTCACATGTCAAGCTAATCGATACACCTTTTCACTGCATACGCAAATGCTTACGTAAAAAAGAAAGGTAAAAAGCCGGCCATACTAAATGGAATGAGAGGGATTGGTCTGAGTGGGAATGAACGAAGAATTTGAGTTGGTCCCGGTATCATTTCACAACACCTTAATATACCTTTTAATTTCAGTTCACCAAAGTGGTAATAAAGAGTTGACTTGTCAGAATAGGGACGCTTGCGGAGGGAAGAATATCCCAACATAACGTTAGATGATCGATCATGATAAGGCTGAGAAATGAATATTTCGACTTGTAAATTTGTCGGCAACTGCCTTAAGTTAGGATCATTATTCATCTCCCAATTAAGTTTGCCGGGTTTACACTATGACTATACTAATTTAATAAACAGTATGCATTACGCAACACCATGTATATCAGTGTAAACAAACAATGTATACTATTCGTTGTACCCAGCCTAACAGCCAAGTTATATGTGTGGTAAATTTTCAATTTTTAGTACGAGACCCGCTATATTATTCAATTTGGCATATTACTCTATATCTCCAGTGGTCTCACAATACCAAACTTGGAGGAAGTATAAAATCTGTCTTATTTGTCACGAAAATATTCCTTGTTTTTCTCGGTATGTGTTTCGGTCAGGGATATTATCATTAAACAGGATCATAGAGCAGTAATGATGAAATAAAATACTTTAAAACTGTTAACTAGGCCAATATAAATTATAACCAACGCAACCCTAAGTCTAGTAGATTTCATGATAGACCAGGGATTTTAATTTCGAAAAAAGGGCAGTTGAGCTCCCACATCCAGAAACACGCCAACTTGCCAGGCAGCCTGGGAGGAAATAAGAGGAAATAGAGGAAATTTTTGAGAAAAAGAGGAAATTTTTGAGAAGTTATATATTACTCCTAAATTTCAAAATATTTTTTTGGAATAAAGACAAATTAATTGAGGAAATTTTCGATTGTATAAAAATCAAAGAGGAACATCCTGTCAGTTTTGGAACACAGTGAAATATTCTGATTGGAGAATGCAGATTGCTGTTGTGAAGTTACCAAATTTACGTGAGTACTTGATTCTTTTCAATCCCAGTTTATTGCTGTCCTACAAATTTCTTTAATACCAAATGTCGTCTAAAACACCCTGTTTCGCAAAAAATTTCCGGGGGGCTGCGCCCCCCTAGCCCCCGCCAAGGGGCTCCGCCCCTGGACCCCGCTAAGGGCTGCGCCCCCAGACCCCTGCCACAGCTTGCTCGCTTCGCAGCTGACTTGGACGAGTCGACTCGCTTCGCTTGCCAACAGCCCCCCCCCCCCCCCCCCCCCCCCCCCCAAAGAAAAAACCTGACTACGTCCCTGCTCGTGAATTGGTCCAGTGTTAAAATGTAAAAATTTGCGGAACGAGCAGGCCACAGAAAAAAAGGCAAACTTGCGAGCGAAGCAAGCGGGCCACAGAATTTAGAAAAAACGCATCTGGGAGGAAATATAAAACTTTCTGGATGTGGGGTTGAGCTAATTGAGTAGGTTAAGATGTTTTTACGACTCATTCGCCGTCCGATTGCGGGAATTACAAATTCTTGTCATGTGTAATGTGTATCATAATATCGTCTTATATTGTCACACTGAATTGTGTTAAAAAGTATATATTTTAACTGTAAGGTGAATCCATTCTTTTCAGCATACTACGATAAAATCGTTTTAAAGTGTTATCAGTGCTATTGAAAGTACCATTTCTGATGAAGTATATCTTATCAGGATTTTGAAAGTTTGAACTTCAACCAGAATGTTTTTGAGTCCGATGAAATCAGAAATGTATGTTATCAGGCAAGTAAATAACCAGAATTATCAAGAGGCATCCGGTTCTCTCAGCTGAATTTCGCTTAAAATCCTCCGAAAACACGTACTAATTGTAACAGTTCAATATATCTATTAAAATTCAAGGTACCTCCTGAAAACCTACATTTAAGCCTGAGTTATTATTAACCTACATCGAAATTAAGGCTAAGTTGTTAACAAGGAATTTGTTTTAGTCTTAAGTCTATATCATTATTCTGTCCATCGCAGTCTTTCGTCCTTTACCCTGCCTTTATAACCTGTCTAATTTATTATTATTGTTTATTTCAACTGTCATTTTATATAAAACGGTATGTAATAAATAAGTCTGGCAACCTTTTTTACCTGTCTAAACCAGATATGTAGACAATAGAATGAAGCCAATAAATTACCGGGATAAAAAAAAAATTTAAAAAAATGCTTTGTCCCTCGCGCAGTAATGTGTGATAAGATGATAACCAAGGAATCTAATTTGACAGGATAATGTACATTTCTTGATTATAATGGAATTTAATATTAGGACATTATACCTCATTTAGCATTATATCCACGATTAAGATTAGATGCACATAATAACCTATCAGTGTAATAAGATAGGAACATATACAGCCCCTGTTACCTATGTACTGCTAGTAAAACTTGTTTACTAACGTTATTATATTACAAAGAGGGCTAATGACAACTATCACACCTAGTTAAACAGAGCTACATTTAACGACTTGACCTGTCAGCGGGTAATTAAATCTCAATTAGCAGATAATTAGCTGAACATCTAGCCGATATCTGTGAGCTGTGACAAAGAGGTGTGGTTAACCGGGACAAGGTGTTACTGATAGATACAGATCTGAAGACAGTTGTAGGATATCACTGTGTGATGCAAGAAATAATGCTCGGATATGAGGCAGGACTTAAGCTTTTTGTTTACAGTGCAGTTCATATCATCATGATTAATGGTTTTCATTGTAATTTATATACAAATGCCATGCATAACTTATAAAATGTAAGCAATATTTCTTTTCAAGAGGGTTGAATAAAAGATAATAATACCATGAGACCATATGGCTAGTACAGTAGTACAGTGTATGAATATTTGAATAATAATTGTTACAGAATCTTACCTTGCCATAGCCACCCTTTCCAAGAACCTTAAGAATACTGAAACACTGTGGATTTATCTTTTCACCAGTGGGGTTTACTGTAAGTTCGTTAATAGGAATACTTTCCGATAAGCCTTGGTCACTGAAAATATGTCAACATAAAAATCGATTAAAGTTATTCAGTTCAACCCCTATTTTAAACTAATGGGGGGGGGGGGGGGTCCAACCCGATCAATTCCGATCATTCCGATCCCGATTTTGGCCTCATCAACCCTCATATCGGACATCGGGTTGGACCCCCCCAACTAATTACCCAAATATTTCAGATTATCAATGTTGCTACTGAGTAGTTACGTTCAGAGTGGAAAGTGCACTAGCTCTAAATTTGAAATTGATAATAATAATTGCGTTAACAAACCTAAATTCACCATGACCGTGATAATTATCTGTCATTAAATGTTTCACATCCTGAAAATAATAACAATGGTAACAAATTTTTAGTATCATAGATAAATCAATATGTAAAATAGAAAGACGAAAGTTTCTTCTGTTAATATCGTGTTTTACAACTTGGCATCTAGAAATTGATGACATGAAAAATGAAGATAGGTTCAAAAGGTTCAAACGTACACCCATCTGTTTACAGTTTCTTACCGGAATAAAATCATAGTCATCATCTGATTCCTCTTCTTGATTGGAAGGTTCCAACAAGGGATCAAACATAAACACTGAGTCCATCTTCTATCTTCTATCTTCAGTCTCCCTAAACAGTACACATCCTGCCCGAGAATTTGTGGTTAGAAAAATGTTCTGAAATGAAAATATAGATGAGAAAAAGCTTGGTTGAGAAGGATGGATCTGCACTACAGGAGTAATTGTATGTGATCCGATCTGAATTTACTGATACAATTTTAAGAACGAGTGATATTCACATGTTCTAATAATATGATGTACCATATAATGCAAAGGCAGCAAGAATTTAGATTCATTTCTTAAAGTTTGTTATCATTAAATTCTTACGTACTTACAAGCGATTAACAAAAATATTAAATCCATACAATTGAGGCCTTATCCAGTATCCATCCATTTTAGACCAATCTCCGACCCAAAAAACCAAAACCCCGATTTACTGCAGGTTTTTGCTTTCCTCCTATACTAAGTCCGCAGTAAATTGTAGTTCTACTGTATTTAGCATTTTTAATTAGATAGGTCAGATATTCTAATTTAACAAGAATTTTGCCGCGGTTAAACCACGCAAGATCAATTTTCCCTACGATGTACTTGTATACCTTTAATTCTTTTGAGTGAAAGGTGTGACTGGAAAAAAGTGCAACATATTTACATACTATGTTATTTATAAATGAGTGGGATTCGTGCATGGTAAAAATTGACGATTTATTTGACGAACGTAGCGCCGTGCATCAACAATAAATGGATCCAGAAAATTGCGGAAAATAACTTTGCGAAGGAGGAATTTCACTGTAATTAATTAACACATGGCTAGCGTCGCGCGCAGCATAACATACGCCTTCTATACACATAATTATAGGGGAGTGGTCTATATTGCGAAGGAGCAGACTTTTGTCATCACCGCAGGTCCATCGGGCCACCTCATATATCCAAACCCGATTACCTATTCCCTACGATCTTTTTGCCTTCGGCAAGAGTAGGGACAAAAATTCAAATTAATTATACATTTCTTCTACTCTTGTAGATATGTTCCGTTTCTACTTCTTGTTGGTCCCTAAGGTTAGCTGACTCCAGACCAGACGATTTTTTTTATTGAAATCTTTCAAATCAGTCAATTACATACAAGTTTACACAATGAATTAGTTAAATATAATATTGTCCTCTAAGCATGGATTGTCAAAGTTGAAATTGTCTCGGACAAAATGTATGTAACCAAAGGACCTGAGGGTCACCAAAACACAGATATTGAGTGCAAATGCAGCTCCTGCACAAGCATGGGCCCTTATAAAATTGTAATAAGTTACTTTAAACAAAATCACACACCCATTCAATCAATTCATAAAATATTGTGCTGTGAGATGAAATTGAGAAATATGTGAATGCAGACAGCAAGAATAGATAATCTTGAATAAACTATTTTACGGATTTGTTTCTATTGAATAGTCAAGTTCAGAGTCCGAATCCACCGGGATAATTTTCCCCCACATGTAAGTGGAAAGTTTACTTTTAAAATCAGTGATACTCTCTATCTCACGGATATCTAGAGGAATGTGATTCCACTTAGTGTGGGTCCTATAGAAGAAATTCTTGGCAAAAGCGTTGGAGCTTGCTCGAGGTGAGATAGAGCTTACAAAACATAGAGAGTCCATGTGACTATTTCTGAGCCTTGAGTGGCCTTGAAATGGTTGCAAATATGAGGGTAAAGTGACAGGTATATGTTGCTTCACAATTTTAAAGAAGAAGATGAGATCCAAGAAGTCAAAGCGGTCTTCAATCGGCATAATCTTCAGCTGTCTGCATTTTTGAATGTATGTGGATGGTGGATAACTCATATACTCCTCGTGAAGAATCCACTTAATAGCACGCTTTTGGAGGCCCTCCAGCTTGCTTATCTGGGATTTTGTGACTGGTCTCCATATAACCGAGCAATGCTCAAATAGGCTCCTCACTAAAGTGAGATACAGTACTCTACGACGATTTACGTCTTGGACAAAATAACAATTTCTTCTCGCCATGCCTAATTTTTGGTTTGCCTTAGAAAGGACTTTGGAGCACTGATCTTTCCAATCGAGATTTGATGTCACAATTACACCCAGATCCTTTTCATGATCAACATAGTCAAGTGTGATTCTTCCCATGGAGTATACAAAGTTAAAGAGTGGTAGGACACTAAGGAGGGAAACTGTTTCGGATATCCTTCCTGCGACGGTGAGGACCTTACATTTGTCGGGATGAAATCTCATTTTATTAGAAAGTGACCAGTCATGGAGATAATCAATGTCCTTCTGCAGTCGCAGGATATCAGACTCCGAAACAATCTTACGCCAAATTTTAGTATCATCGGCATACAGTGACAGTTGTGTGCCTGGTGAAATCCCCACTGATATATCATCAATGAACATAATGAACAGCAATGGTCCCAAAATTGACCCTTGAGGTACACCAGACTGGGCGTTTCTCATAGAAGAAAACTTGCCACTCATCAAGACCTGTTGTTGCCTGTCTCTTAGATAATCAGTGATGAATTTCAGTAGCCTCCCATCAATACCAAATTTGCTCTTTAGCTTAAATAATATAAGATCATGGTTAACCGAGTCAAATGCTTTGGCAAAATCAAAGTAGACTACATCTGTTCTCATATTTTCATTCAGTGAGAGCGCTAGGCTGTCGCACAGTCCTACAAGATTAGTTGCACAAGATCTCTCAGCTCGGAAACCATGCTGTTTGTCATTGATCATGCCATTAGTAAGTGCCAATAACTCATCTCTTATTATGCGTTCAAGAACTTTTGTGATTAAGCATGTAAGAGAAATTGGCCTATAATTTGAAACCTCATGTTTATCCCCTTTCTTGAATATTGGTACAATGTGCCCCAGTTTCCACTCCCTTGGTAGTGTCCCAATGTTGTAGCATGAATGAAAAAGTATTGATATAGGGTATGCGAGCCCAACCGCACAGTTTTTCAAAAGTTTCCCATGGATACCATCAGGTCCATAAGCTTTATTAGCATTAATATTGGAAAGGATTTTGCGAACCCTTCTGTGGTCAAATTCAATATCAAAGCGCCAATCATTAGAGTAATCTATATCTATGTCATAAGTTGATGCCTCAGAGAACTGCTCGAAGAAAAAGTCATTAAATAGGTTGGCCTGGTCTTCAGGGCAGTTGCGGACAGTGCCTTTGTGGCTTACAAACTCAGGGATCCGCTGACTAGCTGTCTTCGATTTGACATAGGACCAAAATTTTTTTGTTATTAAAGCACTATCATCAGATTCATTTAATGTTTCCCTCATTTTTTGAGCAACCACATTTTTGAAATTTTTCCTAGCAAGGGAGAATGCAATTTCAGCTCTATCACTTTTATGCCTTTCTTTATGTAATCTCACTTTCTTACGCCATGCATCATAACACTCCGAGTCAAACCATGGATCTTGGCCATCAGTCTTGACAGAGCATTTTTTAACAAATTTATCTGTGACATTAAAAAGTTTGTCCTTAAATTTTTTCCATCCAATTTCAGGTTCTGTGCCATTGAGCAATGCATCCCAATTCGTGTGTCGGAGTTCATGGTTTAGCCTCTCCCAGTTCACAGTCTTAAAGTTATAGCACATACGCCTGACTGGCTTCTTCCTACCAACTTTAACGTTGATCTTAAAATTGATGGGGAAGTGGTCAGACTTGCAAGCACTATCTCTCTCACCTACCATTAGGTCATTAATATTTGACACAGAGTTTGTGAGCAATAGGTCAAGTGTTTTGCCTTTGCAGTGGGTAGGTGTTAACACACATTGTTGAAGGCCTAGATCAACAAAAGATTCAACAAAAGATTGCTCAATAGGACAGGAGCTGGCCAGGGTAGACCAGGAAACTCCGGTCAGGTTAAAATCTCCTAGTATGAAGACTTTACTCAGTCCTCTTCTTCTGAGAAGAGTTTTCAAAGACTCAACAATTTTTTCATGATTTGCGGAGCCCAGTGTACCAACACGATAACATGTGCATACAACAAACTTAATTCCAGTGGATGTCTTAAATTCCACAGCAAGAATTTCTGCACCATACTTGAGATGAACTTCCTTTGAAGTTACTGAATGGCAAGGTTTGATGCCTAGGCAGTTGAGACCTCTAATCGAGACCCTACATAATAAATCCATACAGTTACATAATTGAAACAATTAAGGCCCCTTGGTGTGGGCAAAATATGTGTCCTGGCAATCACAATGGAGATGCTTCTCGTTGTAGAGTCCTGGTATACAATTTATCTGAGGAACTGGGACTGCATTATAATAATTTAAGGAAATCACTAACAACAGTCTTTAAACGATAATAGAGACAATAGAAATAAATACGTGGGCAAAAATATCAAATGGAACAAAATGCAGCCACCTAAACAGATCTTGAGCCCACAAGCAATCTTGACTTAAATTGTTTTATCTTCAGCGAGAGCTAAGACCTATATGAATACCGTGCTGTACATTTGCATGGCCATGGCATGTGGAATAATTGGATTGAGATTACTTGACTGGAAGGTGAGTGACGAAATTTTTAACTTAACTAAATACTGTGAGAACTACTTTTTAGTCTTAATGTCCAAGAGTTTCCCTTGCAACTGAATAACTGATTTCTGAGCCACCCCTGCAGATTTCGTCGATTTCAGGTGCCGTCGGCACCATAAAAATTAAAAGCAAACATAAATTTTTTCCCCTAAAATCGAAAGCTTTCTGCGCAAAAAATTGACCTCAACAGAAAAAATTAAACATGGCTTCAAATCCAAATTTGAACCAGAGATATTTCACTTCCTCTCGATAAACTCAATTTTCAACCCAAAATAAAGTCTCAAAGGGGTAAATTACTCAGGTCAGGATTGTAGGCAATGACTATGCCAAACCATACATTTTTGTAAATTCATTAAACTTTCAATTTAGCCTAAAACACCCTATTTCGCAAAATTTTTCCGGGGGGCTGCGCCCCCCTAGCCCCCGCCAATGGGGTCCACCCCTTACCTGGACCCCGCTGGGGGCCGCACCCCCAGACCCCTGCCACAGCTTGCAGCTTCGCTAGCCGACAGCCCCCCCCCCCCCCCCCCCAAAGAAA